AATTGATACACTTCTGCTTCAGAAGGTTGGCAGCCACTGGATTTGCTAAAAGGAATAACACACTCCTGAGTACATGGCTGTTTGAATGAAACACATTTGTAGGGTGCTGGAGGTATTTGGCTTTAAACCTATGCTCAGTATACTGAAGGCCTGCCTTGTCTTTTGCAATTTAAATAATACATGATGAAGAAGTTGGTGGGGATGCTTATTGGCTCCCATTGCAGCAGCACAGAAAGACTCATTGGTAAATCAAGAACAATGGCATTTTTAATATTTCAAGTTTTTTTTTAAAAATATTCTTATGCTATTAAAATGATCTCTTGGGGATTTTTAAAATTAATTTTAGTATAAAAAGATATTTTAAAAATTTATCTTCTCTTCTTTGCATGTTTTCTGGCTTCCACTTATTTCAACCTTTCCCTGTTCCTTTTTAGGCTACTCTAATGCCGCTTCCCTCTCGTTTGATAGCTTATCTCCTTTCTTGTCCATTCTCACTTTTGTTCCTTTCTTTCCTGGTTCCCTGATCCAGAAACTCTCAATCCTAATCTACCCTCAGATGCAACTCCCTAAAGCTAACACGCTCATTGTAATCTGAGTACTCTAGTTTTTCTTTTAGCAGACTGGGAGCTGCCAAATATACTATATCTAGTGTCTCATGTAAAATGCATCCCTCAGTACTTCCCAATAGACCAGGAAAGTCCCCTTTGAATTGCTGATATTCCAGTGGAACACTGATGCTTCCAAGAACACTGCAATGTTTTGCCACTGCTCAGAGACTGCAGCACAGAAAGAATTACTATTTATTTGAGAGCTATTGAACTCTCTCAATTAGGGGTACATATACACTGCAGCTGGGAGCATGCCCTCCAGTGCGGGTAGACAAACTCAGCTAGCTCTGCTTGAGCTAGCATGCAAAAAATGGTAGTTAGCCACGGGCAGCATCTTAGGCTAGCCACCCAAGTACATACCCGGGAGTCACGTGCGGTTGTATTCAGGCAACAAGCCAGAGCCATCACAAATGTCACCGTGGCCACATAGCTGTTTTTAGCACACCAACTTGAGTAGAGCTAGTACAAGTCTGTCTACCTGTACTGGGAAGCATGCTCCCAGCTGCAGAGTCGCCAGACCCTAAGGCTTGGCCTACACTACAGACTTTTGTCGATATAAATGCGTTGCTCAGTGGTGTGGAAAATTTACCCCCGAGCAACACCATTCAACTGTAGACAGTATAGTATACACAGTATAGCGACAGGAGGGCTTCTCCCATGACATAGCTACCACTTCTCAGGGCAGTGGAGTAACTACACTAAGGGTATGTCTACACTACGGAATAAGGTCAAATTTATAGAAGTCGGTTTTTTAGAAATCGGTTTTATAAATTCGAGTGTGTGTGTCCCCACAGAAAATGCTCTAAGTGCATTAAGTGCATTAACTCGGCGGATCGCTTCCACAGTACCGAGGCAAGCGTCGACTTCCGGAGCGTTGCACTGTGGGTAGCTATCCCACAGTTCCCGCAGTCTCCGCTGCCCATTGGAATTCTGGGTTGAGATCCCAATGCCTGATGGGACTAAAACATTGTCGCGGGTGGTTCTGGGTACATATCGTCAGCCCCCCGTTCCCTCCCTCCCCCCGTGAAAGCAAGGGCAGACAATCATTTCGCGCCTTTTTTCCTGAGTTACCTGTGCAGACGCCATACCACAGCAAGCATGGAGCCCGCTCAGGTAACCGTCACCCTATGTCTCCTGGGTGCTGGCAGACGCGGTACGGCATTGCTACACAGTAGCAGCAACCCCTTGCCTTGTGGCAGCAGACGGTACAGTACGACTGGTAGCCGTCATCGTCATGTCTGAGGTGCTCCTGGTCGCCTCTGTGAGGTCGATCAGGAGCGCCTGGGCAGACATGGGCACAGGGACTAAATTTGGAGTGACTTGACCAGGTCATTCTCTTTAGTCCTGCAGTCAGTCCTATTGAACCGTCTTATGGTGAGCGGGCAGGCGATACGGACTGCTTGCAGTCGTACTGTACCATCTTCTGCCAAGCAGCCATGAGATGTGGATGGCATGCAGTCCTTCTGCACCGTCTGCTGCCAGCCAAAGATGTAAAAGATAGATGGAGTGGATCAAAACAAGAAATAGACCAGATTTGTTTTGTACTCATTTGCTTCCCCCCATCCCCTGTCTAGGGGACTCATTCTTCTAGATCACACTGCAGTCACTTACAGAGAAGGTGCAGCGAGGTAAATCTAGCCATGTATCAATCAGAGGCCAGGCTAACCTTCTTGCTCCAATAAGGACAATAACTTAGGTGCACCATTTCTTATTGGAACCCTCCGTGAAGTCCTGCCTGAAATACTCCTTGATGTAAAGCCACCCCCTTTGTTGATTTTAGCTCCCTGAAGCCAACCCTGTAAGCGCCCCTCCCAGCGTCAGAGCAATGGCAAACAATCGGGCATCTGAGAGTGCTGTCCAGAGCAGTCACAATGGAGCACTCTGATGGGGCTAAAACATTGTCGCGGGTGGTTCTGGGTACGTGTCGTCAGGCCCCCGTTCCCTCCCTCCCTCCGTGAAAGCAAGGGCAGACAATCATTTTGCGCCTTTTTTCCTGAGTTACCTGTGCAGACGCCATACCACAGCAAGCATGGAGCCCGCTCAGGTAACCGTCACCCTATGTCTCCTGGCTGCTGGCAGACGCGGTACGGCTTTGCTGCACAGTAGCAGCAACCCATTGCCTTCTGGCAGCAGACGGTGCAATACGATTGGTAGTCCTCCTCGTCGTGCCCGAGGTGCTCCTGGCCGCGTCGGCTGGGAGCGCCTGGGCAGACATGGTCGCAGGGACTAAATTTGGAGTGACTTGACCAGGTCATTCTCTTTAGTCCTGCAGTCAGTCCTATTGAACCGTCTTATGGTGAGCGGGCAGGCGATACGGACTGCTAGCAGTCGTACTGTACCATCTTCTGCCAGGCAGGCAAGAGATGAGGATTGCTAGCAGTCGTATTGCACCATCTTCTGCCAGGCAGGCAAGAGATGGGGATGGCTAGCAGTCGTACTGTACCATCTTCTGCCGAGCAGCCATGAGATGTGGATGGCATGCAGTCCTTCTGCACCGTCTGCTGCCAGCCAAAGATGTAAAAGATAGATGGAGTGGGTCAAAAGAAGAAATAGACCAGATTTGTTTTGTACTCATTTGCCTCCTCCCCTGTCTAGGGGACTCATTCCTCTAGGTCACACTGCAGTCACTCACAGAGAAGGTGCAGCGAGGTAAATCTAGCCATGTATCAATCAGAGGCCAGGCTAACCTCCTTGTTCCAATAACAACGATAACTTAGGTGCACCATTTCTTATTGGAACCCTCCGTGCAGTCCTGCCTGAAATACTCCTTGATGTACAGGCACCCCCTTTGTTGATTTTAGCTCCCTGAAGCCAACCCTGTAAGCCGTGTCGTCAGTCGCCCCTCCCTCCATCAGAGCAACGGCAGACAATCGTTCCGCGCCTTTTTTCTGTGCGGACGCCATACCACGGCAAGCATGGAGCCCGCTCAGCTCACTTTGGCAATTAGGAGCACATTAACCACCACACGCATTATTCAGCAGTATATGCAGCACCAGAACATGGCAACGCGATACCGGGCGAGGAGGCGACGTCAGCGCGGTCCCGTGAGTGATCAGGACATGGACACAGATTTCTCTGAAAGCATGGGCCCTGACAATGCATGCATCATGGTGCTAATGGGGCAGGTTCATGCTGTGGAACGCCGATTCTGGGCTCGGGAAACAAGCACAGACTGGTGGGACCGCATAGTGTTGCAGGTCTGGGACGATTCCCAGTGGCTGCGAAACTTTCGCATGCGTAGGGGCACTTTCATGGAACTTTGTGACTTGCTTTCCCCTGCCCTGAAGCGCATGAATACCAAGATGAGAGCAGCCCTCACAGTTGAGAAGCGAGTGGCGATAGCCCTGTGGAAGCTTGCAACGCCAGACAGCTACCGGTCAGTTGGGAATCAATTTGGAGTGGGCAAATCTACTGTGGGGGCTGCTGTGATGCAAGTAGCCCACGCAATCAAAGATCTGCTGATATCAAGGGTAGTGACCCTGGGAAATGTGCAGGTCATAGTGGATGGCTTTGCTGCAATGGGATTCCCTAACTGTGGTGGGGCTATAGACGGAACCCATATCCCTATATTGGCACCGGAGCACCAAGCCGCCGAGTACATAAACCGCAAGGGGTACTTTTCGATAGTGCTGCAAGCTCTGGTGAATCACAAGGGACGTTTCACCAACATCAACGTGGGATGGCCGGGAAAGGTGCATGATGCTCGCATCTTCAGGAACTCTGGTCTGTTTCAAAAGCTGCAGGAAGGGACTTTATTCCCAGACCAGAAAATAACTGTTGGGGATGTTAAAATGCCTATATGTATCCTTGGGGACCCAGCCTACCCCTTAATGCCATGGCTCATGAAGCCATACACAGGCAGCCTGGACAGTGGTCAGGAGCTGTTCAACTACAGGCTGAGCAAGTGCAGAATGGTGGTAGAATGTGCATTTGGACGTTTAAAGGCGCGCTGGCGCAGTTTACTGACTCGCTTAGACCTCAGCGAAACCAATATTCCCACTGTTATTACTGCTTGCTGTGTGCTCCACAATATCTGTGAGAGTAAGGGGGAGATGTTTATGGCGGGGTGGGAGGTTGAGGCAAATCGCCTGGCTGCTGGTTACGCGCAGCCAGACACCAGGGCGGTTAGAAGAGCACAGGAGGGCGCGGTACGCATCAGAGAAGCTTTGAAAACCAGTTTCATGACTGGCCAGGCTACGGTGTGAAAGTTCTGTTTGTTTCTCCTTGATGAACCCCCCGCCCCTTGGTTCACTCTACTTCCCTGTAAGCTAACCACCCTCCCCTCCTCCCTTTAATCATTGCTTGCAGAGCCAATAAAGTCATTGCTGCTTCACAGTCATGCATTCGTTATTCATTCATCACACAAATAGGGGGATGACTACCAAGGTATCCCAGGAGGGGTGGTGGAGGAGGGAAGGAAAATGCCACACAGCACTTTAAGCACAGCACTTTAAAAGTTTACAACTTTAAAATTTATTGAATGACAGCCTTCTTTTTTTTGGGCAATCCTCTGTGGTGGAGTGGCTGGTTGGCCGGAGGCCCCCCCACCGCGTTCTTGGGCGTCTGGGTGTGGAGGCTATGGAACTTGGGGAGGAAGGCGGTTGGTTACAGAGGGGCTGCAGTGGCAGTCTGTGCTCCAGCTGCCTTTGCTGCAGCTCAACCATACACTGGAGCATACTGGTTTGGTCCTGCAGCAGCCTCAGCATTGAATCCTGCCTCCTCTCATCACGCTGCCGCCACCTTTGAGCTTCAGCCCTGTCTTCAGCCCGCCACTTACTCTCTTCAGCCCGCCACTTACTCTCTTCAGCCCTCCACCTCTCCTCCCGGTCATTTTGTGCTTTCCTGCACTCTGACATTATTTGCCTCCACGCATTCGTCTGTGCTCTGTCAGTGTGGGAGGACAGCATGAGCTCGGAGAACATTTCATCGCGAGTGCGTTTTTTTTTTCTTTCTAAGCTTCACTAGCCTCTGGGAAGGAGAAGATCCTGTGATCATTGAAACACATGCAGCTGGTGGAGAAAAAAAAAGGGACAGTGGTATTTAAAAAGACACATTTTATAAAACAGTCGCTACACTCTTTCAGGGTAAACCTTGCTGTTAACATTACATACATAGCACATGTGCTTTCGTTACAAGGTCGCATTTTGCCTCCTCCCACCGCGTGAACGGATTTTGGTTGAATGCCAGCAAACATACACTGCAATGCTTTGTTCTACAGTGATTCCCGAGTACGTGTTACTGGCCTGGAGTGGTAAAGTGTCCTACCATGAAGGACAAAATAAGCTGCCCTCCCCAGAAACCTTTTGCAAAGGCAGAACCGCAAATGCCAGGGCAAAGTAATCCTTTCACATGCTTGCTTTTAAACCATGTATAGCATTTTAAAAGGTACACTCACCAGAGGTCCCTTCTCTGCCTGCTGAGTCCAGGAGGCAGCCTTGGGTGGGTTCGGGGGGTACTGGCTCCAGGTCTAGGGTGAGAAACAGTTCCTGGCTGTCGGGAAAACCGGTTTCTCCGCTTGCTTGCTGTGAGCTATCTACAACCTCCTCCTCATCATCTTCTTCGTCCCCAAAACCTACTTCCGTATTGCCTCCATCTCCATTGAAGGAGTCAAACAACACGGCTGGGGTAGTGGTGGCTGAACCCCCTAAAATGGCATGCAGCTCATCATAGAAGCGGCATGTTTGGGGCTCTGACCCAGAGCGGCTGTTCGCCTCTCTGGTTTTCTGGTAGGCTTGCCTCAGCTCCTTCAGTTTCACACGGCACTGCTTCGGGTCCCTGTTATGGCCTCTGTCCTTCATGCCCTGGGAGATTTTCAGAAAGGTTTTGGCATTTCGAAAACTGGAACGGAGTTCTGATAGCATGGATTCCTCTCCCCAAACAGCGATCAGATCCCGTACCTCCCGTTCGGTCCATGCTGGAGCTCTTTTGCGATTCTGGGACTCCATCATGGTCACCTGTGCTGATGAGCTCTGCATGGTCACCTGCAGCTTGCCACGCTGGCCAAACAGGAAATGAGATTCAAAAGTTCGCGGTTCTTTTCCTGTCTACCTGGCCAGTGCATCTGAGTTGAGAGCGCTGTCCAGAGCGGTCAGAATGGAGCACTCTGGGATAGCTCCCGGAGGCCAATACCATCGAATTGTGTCCACAGTACCCCAAATTCGAGCCGGCAACGTCGATTTAAGCGCTAATCCACTTGTCAGGGGTGGAGTAAGGAAATCGATTTTAAGAGCCCTTTAAGTCGAAATAAAGGGCTTCATTGTGTGGACGGGTGCAGGTTTAAATCGATTTAACGCTGCTAAATTCGACCTAAAGTCCTAGTGTAGACCAGGGCTAAGGGGAGAAGCTCTCCTTTCGGCATAGGTAGAGTCTTCTCTCAGCACCGCAGCGTTGTATGTGTAGACAAGCCCTTAGTGATTTATACCAGCGCACTCTGATCAGGATTCCCCACATGGTGACAAACAGCCCTACTCAGTGAATCCTCCGGCTGGTCCCATTTGCACCTGGGAGCAGCATGCTCCCAACACAAAGACTGCAATATAGCCTGAGCACATATGTGCCCTGCAGTGGACTGTGGATATCTGTTGAATGGTCTCAACATGGGATCAAGAAGACTCATTAATTTCAGAAAGCAAATTATATGGCACTTTAAAGAGTGTGAGAGGCGTATCTGCACAGCTTCTATGTGTGTTAGTAAGAGTCACACAGTTGAGTCCACTGAGACCTCCCCGTATAGTTACCCCTTTGGATAACTGAAAGACATAACATCTTTCTGAAAGCACAACAAAGGGAACCCTGTTAGTTAAAGCACAAACAAAATCTGGTAAATATTTACAATGTGGAGGAGAGGAACATTTTGGGGTTTCTGGACCTCTTTCTCCAAATACTCTGATGGTTCAGTCCATGCAAACTTCCTGTTTGAATTCTCTGCCCAGTAAGAGCCTCCTTGTATTAGGACATGAACAAGTCCAACTCACTCATTGAGTAAAGGCATGGATGTTCTCCTCTTGCTCTTCTGCACCATATTGGCCTGGTTCCTTAGGGAGATCCGAATGAGAGACGGAGCAAGTCGACATGGCTCCCCATCCACTTGCATGGGGATAGACTTGTACGTTAACAGAGTCACTTCCCGGCACTGATGCAACCTTTCTCCATGACCTCCCACCTGAAGAGCAGCCTGCAGAACAAGGACAAAGCAAAGAGGAGGAAAGCCATAATGTTACCATCCTATACCAGCCATGTGAGTTAGCTAACATCTCCCTACTCCTGTTTTACCCAGCACTCTATATCCTCCGCTACAAACTATTCCATCTGCACATGAGACCCACTCTGTTGCAGTAAGTGGTTTGTTCTGTCACAGGGAGATTTACCAGCTTGCCAGAATACAGTCCAAAAGCAGCAACTGTCCACTAATTTGGAGGATTCAATGCAAAGAACCCACTATTCTAAATTCATCACCACTAGGAAGTTGCATTTCAGGCCAACCCCACATTTTCCCCCCATCTAAATTTGCAGAATGGCTTTCCAGTGAGAGACATGGGTGCACATGATGCATTAAGGCAATGTTCCAATCAAAGCTTTTCAATAAGTCATTGCAATGAGGCATGACCAATGTAATTCCATTCACAGAAAAGACATAAAATGGGACTTAGAATGCTAGAATAAAGTCCTGGAGAGAAGGATCAGTGGGCAGAGGTCAGGTGAAGCAGTCAAACATACATGACAAATTCATTGTATCACATGGGTATGAAATTTATCATGTGGAGGTTGCCTCAGCATATGTGGTGTATATCTATATTTAGAGATATAGACACACACTTATATGCTTGCACACATCCAAGGTGCATTTCTGTATATTTCTACATCTTGTTTTAAATTATGATTATTTGTGTTGCAGTACTGCCTACAATCTATGACTCAAGGATCAGGGTTCCGTCTATGTGATCTAAATGCTTTTTCAAGCAACAGTATTAATAGAGATTTTCTTTCTTACCAAGGCAATACTGTCCTTGATGTGAATTAGATTAATCTGAAATACTTATTATGACAGTTTATAAAGCAATTCAGCATCAGGATTAGACAAGCTGAAAAGAGCAAGGAGAAAAACCTTGTTCAATAACTGCGGCTGGAAAGCAATTAAATGCTATGTTCAATAATTGTCTTGAAGAAACGAAACGAGAGAGCTGTACCATGTGCCCTCTGGGACACCTGCTCACTGACCCAACATTCTATCCATAAATTGACTGAAATAAGTCAACAGAAACAGGTCTGCATAGTTTTCATCAAACAACACCTTCGTGACCGACAGCTTTTCCCATTTGGTGCTTTTCTAACTTAGAGAAAAAAAATTAGCCAGCTTTCCAAGCCCACCTCCTCTCTCCTACCTAAGTACATGCAACCTTTTTAAAACCCAAACCAGGAGTAAAGAAGCAGTGGAAGAGGCAAGGGGGATAAAAACATATCAGAGACAAAAAGATAGATAGAGCTTGTTAATGACTTTTGCAGGGCCCTAGAAATTTAGGCAGGCACTTTGGGGCAGAAACGCTGTATTTTAATAAAAAATCTATATTAATACAACATTAGCATCAAGAGTTACAGGAACTGAAGTCAGGACATTCACTGTTTTGTTTCCCACAGGAACCTTAACTGTCCTATTATGAATATTACACCTGGGCTACTGGTTACATGATGATGATGATCATAATCATCATATTACTTAACATTTATATAGCACTTTTCATTCAAAGATCTAAAGCATATCACAAATGTGGGCAAGCAGATCATAAAGCATAGTGCGATGCACAAAATGTCTGCTAAGATGCAGAAAAGGTCTATCGTTATAGTGACTCTTCAAATCACAAACACATATAAAACCTTAACTCTGACCTCAGCTTCTTTTAGGTAGAAATAGCTCACTAAGGGACCTGATTCTGAATTGTGGCCTAAATGAGTTCATGCAGCTCAGGAGAGGGGTGGCAAAGGTGGCTGTGCATCACCTCTGTGGCCCTCTGGAGGCAACCCCGAAGACTACTCTAACTCACTGTTGCCTGCACTGATTCCCTGTGGGATGTTACATTGTAAATATAGTTCAGTGCATTCCAGCTACACCTTCTCATTCCTCCAATACATCCTGCCCCTTCCCTCATTTATAACCTGACATACATCTACACCAAGCACTGTAATAGTGGGGTGATGAAGGGTTATTCCACTAGACCTATACCACTAGGGAATTCCCCTGATGCTAGGGGTACTCCCAGTCAGTTGCCACTGGCTTTGTGGCACCTGTATGATAGCTCCACCAGTATACAAAGGCTATAGCAGAAACCCCAATCAGGGGCATAGACATTTAAAGTATGACTAGCAGTAAGGCATCTTAGTTTTGCTTATGATGGAGATAAAGTTTATTTCAGTGTGATTGTGAGGAATTAGATGCCTGCATTGTGGATGGTTGTATGCCGAAACTGAAAAGCACTTTGGCATGGAACTGAGGAGCCTGTGAATGTGTTTGGGCACTATAGTGAAAAGGTACAAAGACAGAGATTGGTCTGGAGGGTAACACCACTTTAACTGGTGGTCTTCTGTTTTTAAGGTTTGTACTTGGGAAATGCACTTAGAGTTAACTTTTTTTTTTTTTTGTGGGAACAAAAGAAAAACAATTACAGTGGCACTTACCTGATGCTTTCAAAGCACTTTACAAACATTATTCAATGCTCACAACACCTTTGTTGGGCAGGTAAAAATTATCACTCCCATTTTAGGTTAAGTGACTTGCTCAAGACTACACAGCAAATCAGTGTCAGAGGGGAAGCAGAACTCCTATATTTCTAGATTGCTGTTCTGTGTTCTGACCAGTAGACAACACCCATTTCAAAAAGTTTTATTCCTTTTCCACTAAATCACACAATGTTCTATTATTTCTCAAATACCATGTTATCTTGCTCAGGGTTTTAAATGGCATAATTTTAATGCATAATTGAAAGGTGATGACACAAGGGTTAAGGTTGCTATGGAAATGTTCATTCTGAATTCCATGGCTGGTGCATATACAAATGTAATGCTTAATTATGCATCAGCATCATTTTATGTATTAATGTACTCCACATACATAGATCTTTTTATGTAAATATTCCTTATAACGCAGCACAAAGTAAATCAGCCTCACTGGCTTTAGGCAAGACTTCTGTCTGAAGGCACTATAGACCTTGAGAGCAAAGAAGAAGTCATCAAAATTTTAGCTAAAATATGCAGACTGTACAATGTTTTATAATACGTGAGCACCAGCTAGAAAACACAAATACTTAAAATAACAGTTGCACTACTCAATCAGGAGTGTCTCTCTTATAGTCTGTGATCTTCTTAAAATTTCTCCCACCCCCTCACTCTGATACAACAGGGAAAATGGGAATTTTCTGAGAATATTTAATGCAGTAATTGAAATTCTTTTAAACTATTCAGATTTTTAGGTGCGACTTTAGGTGGAGAACTTTTGCAATACCAGTGATGGTCAATTCTAGAGTACAGCAGAAAGGAATGCTCAATTTCAATATGGAGATGCGGCCTTTAAAGGCCAGGAGTCCCAGCATGTAATGCTCCATATTCCAAGTGAGCTGCAGGCCGCACCTACATACTGAAGACGAGGAGGGCTACCATATGTGTCTATTTTATGCAAATTAGATATGTCCTTTGAGCACCTGGTGATTTGACAATGTGGTACTTCTCAACTTTGCAAAGTTTGGACAACCTTTAATTATGTGATTAGTAAAGATGGTTTAAAAAGAGTAAGTACATTTTACAAAGTTTTTTTGGGGAAAAAAACCTAGATTTTCTTTTTCTTTTCTTTTTTTCCTTCTTTTTTTAAACAACAAAATTATCCCTCCACCCCACCCCCCAACACACATGATTTCTTACTTTTTCTTTTCTTTTCTCCCAGTGAAAAAGTGAAAGTAGGATTTTTTCCCACAATTTTGACATGGAATATTTTGAAATTTTCAAAAAAGATTGTCAAAATATTTTGTTTGTTTACAAATTTCATCAAAAAAAATTTTTAATGTAATTGTTCTACACACAAAAAATTTTGTTGCTGGAACCCTATTTTTCAACAAAGAATGTCTGACCAGCTCTAATGTATATGGGAAATATACAAAAACCCCAGTTGTGGTGGGGCTGGTAACAAACAGCAGTTATTGTGCGACCATATTAGTTTCCCATTGTACAAACACACATACACATGCACACACATCCCTTCTATAATACTTTAATCTTCTTTGAATTTTGATTTGGGAGCATTTTGAAGCACCATTAGGTATGTTCAAAGCAACCAGGTTTTCAGGGAGTACATTTTGATAATGAAATCATACTTCTCTTCCTTTGAAAACCATTATTTGTTCATAATTGAAAAAAAATTGAGGCTAAAACAAATTTTCTCCACCTTATTGAACCCAGGAAAGCATAGGAGAGAATCTTTTTGGTACGAAACTTTGTGCACGCTAGTGTTGAGCCATGGACATGAGGTGTCTCATACAAAATCGCACACAGAATACTCCCAGTGCCTTAAGCAGTGTGAAATCTACTGCATGCAAAAAAAATACTCAGCTCTGCAAAAATTCTCACCAGAGAGGCCATAGTGAACCCAATGACCTCAATGTAACCATCATCATGGCGCTGAGGTTCAAAGTCTCTGTGGTCGCTGGGGGTACCCCAGGGCATTGTGCCAGCACAATACCTGCAGAAAGAGGTTTAGAAAATGAGAGCATACTAAGAATTTGCCCCACTGGGTCTTACAACAATTAAAAGAAAATAAAGGATAAGTACTGGCCAGTTCTTTATCTTCTGGGTGAATAGCCATACATCTATTCCAAAAGGTCTTAAAATCCATTCTGGGGCCTCCCAGTGACCATACATATAATTATAGGTAAGATCAGACAGGAAACCTGCCCTCCAACTTTCAGGCTGGTGGGGTAGGCAATTAGTTTGTCTATCCCAACTTCTGGTAGGTTGCTGAGTGGAGATGGGAGGCAGCAGAGAGGGGACAGTGCCTTTTTGCAGTAGTGCTCAGGACTCTTCTCTCCCCTCTCCCCCCAGTCCTTCTTCAGATCAGCTGGATTTTCACCTGCAGCCTCCTGCCAACAAAGGCTGCTTTGTGCCCCTGCTAAGAAGGCAGGAGGCTGAAGCTGAGCTTGCTTTCTGCAGACCTTAGTTTCCTCCCTCCCTTCTGCTCAGAAGGTCTGGGAGCAGAGGAGATGCAAAAGCTGAGATAGATTGGGGGAGGAGCTCAACAGTGGCCTCCTACCTAATGGCTGCTGCTGCTTCTCTCTCCTGCCTATTGTTAGGGATATATGGGAGATCTTGCAGAGCAGAGGGTGGGGAGAACTTTGGAGACGAGACATCACAAAGAACCTTGCACAGAGGGCAACACAGGAGGGAGAGGAAGTGAGTACCTTGGAAAGGAAATCTTTGGTAAGGGGACAGGGAAGATGGGGGAATATTGGGCTTTTAAAAACACACCCCACTCTTTGTGACACCCTCTAAGATGTTAGGAAACAGTGTTTCTTCCAAACCCATTTGGAGCTCTTCTATTTGGAAGGTACTGATTTTTTTCCTCCTGCTTTGTGTTCTAATGAAGCAGAAGACAACTCTATCTGTTGACTTCCTTGTTCACGTATTAGGTGCACAACTCTGGAAATTGTATTTATTGATTAACTGTTCCTATGGAGCCAGCAGTTTGTTGTGAACTGGAGCTTACCTGGGTATATTTAAAAACACTATACATTGGAACTTCAGCTCCTGAATCTTTGGGGTCAGGTCTGTTCCATCACACTGCAAAAACCAAAGCAACAGAACAAAGAGGGGTTTGTAAATGGGGTCTCGGACAGGATAATAATTGCTGTTACCCCATTTTGTAACAACCTGCCCAAGAATGTGGATCACATTTTAGAAATACCCATCTCTCTATAGCATAGTTGCTGGGCACCATTCACTCTCTGTGAGATAGGGAAGGGTGTGTTACCCAGTGGGCAATTGTCATGTATGTAAATTCCCAAAGGCTTTCTACAAAATGTGTTTCAAATGTCACGGTCAAAACTGAAAGTAACAATCAATGGTCTGGTGTGATTAGGTTTGTGTTTTCACAGCACTCCCTCCCTCTCTCTCTCTCTCTCTCTCTCTCTCTCTCTCTCTCTCTCTCACACACACACACACACACACACTCCATCTGTCTCACTGCACAAAATGATACCATGCTTTCCTATACTTACCACAACTTTAACATGTTTGGATAAATCTCTGGAACTTCTCTGCAGGAAGTCTGAAAAGGCTGCCTACCAGACATATGAAAAGGGAGGGAATTCAAATCAGAATTTTTTTTATTTGAATGATCTACAGCTTCTTCCTTTCACTTTCCTTCCTTTGCATCCCTCCCCAGATTCTGCCACCACATACCATCCTGCGCTAAACTCTTTTCTTTCCTACTCCCATTGACAGAGAGTTTTAGCCCAAGTTTCTTCTGTTAGCATCCAGTCAGCAGTGCATGTTTCAAATTCTCAAGAGTCCCTTGAATCAGAGCTGGGGGGCGAGGACACAGAAGGGAAGATTGGTCCACTTGTTTTGCTGCATTAAGGTGCTGCACTAAGAAAAAGCACTCCACTTTGGAAGATTTACCATGGAACACCATTGTGCACCCAAAACATCATGCAAATTCTTGCTCTTGTTCGTTTGTTTTTAACGCATAAGGCTTCTGGGTGTGGTGACAGTGATAGAATCTGACAGCGGAAAGACATGTATGACGGCAAGTATTATCTAGTCAATGACCTCCTTTCCTAATTACACCTTAAAATAAAGCTGAAGACCATCCACTTCCCTCCTTGATAAGAAATGGTCATCTGATTTGCATATTCATGTATGAAAATGAGATGCTCCAAATAGCAGCTCTCTGTCCTCCTCCTCTCTCTAGCTCCAAGTCAAGGAATGCTCATCAGGGCCTGAAAGATATGGTCAGCGATTTTTCCTGTGCACTAGCAACTTCCCCAGTAACTTCCGTATCCAAGTGCTGCCCACATATGAAAATAAATGTGAACACAACAGTGAAGCGCTTGCCAATCTGCAGCAGCGGATTCAGGATATTATCAGTCCTTCTTCCAAAGGCTGTAGCACTCTTCTGAACTACTAACTATTATAGGAAAATAATACTTCAATCCCTTTCAAACAGACATGGGGAGGCATTGCCAGAAGTACCTGGAAGCAAACTTTGTACTTTTAAAGGTAATGGGCAAAATAAATGGTCATAACCCTCAGGAGTGAAAGGGAGAGGAAGGGGAATAAATAATATATAATTTAAATAAATAAACCAAGGCCGTTCTGTAAAATCCATTCGCAACTCACCCCAGCATAAAACATTTTATTTCGAAAGCGACTGTTGAATTTCTCTGGATTTGCTTCTGTAAAAGAAGAACAAGGAAGAAAACAAAGTTGTCATAAGGGAGAAAGTTAGCAGCGCACCCTTGCTGTTCTGAGAAGTTTCATTCCAAGCTTTCCTGGAGGCAAGAAGACAGATTTACAGCCTTGGCATGCTGCTAGCTTTCAACCCATGATGGGGAAAAGGCAAGGGAAGTCTTTATTTTCAGCACTATCTACATCAGCAACCCTAAAAGAGCAATTCCATGCATACTGTACATGCACCACCCATTGGTAATTAAAAGGTGAGAAATGTCAAATGAACTTTTACTTTGCAAGAATCTACCCTCTGCGCTATTCTTTGCTAGTAGATTTCTATTTAGTGTAGCCCCTTTTTGGTGTAAAGTAGAGTGGATGAGGATAAGGGCAGACAGCCCCCAAACCATGATTCTCTTGAGGGAAATTTACCACAACACCACCTTAAAGAGTTACATTGTCTGTCTCATGACCCCACCGTAAACTTCCACAGCACAATCACAACTTTTCAGTGACACCAGTACACACTGTACACTGAGTAGATCTCCGTTTGGATTATTCTAAATCTCATGAAACATTTGAAACAAAACTGAATGATTCATAGATTTTAAGGCCAGAAGGAACCACTATGATCATCTAGTCTGACCTCCTGCATATTACAGGCCATAGAATTCAACCTAGTGATTTCCATACCTAGCCCAACAATTTGTAGCTAAAGTAGAGCCTAATTAGAAAGATAACCAATTTTGATTTAAAGATTCTAAGTGATGGAGAATTTATCACATACTTAGTAATCTGTTTCCAATTATTAATTACTCACAGTTAAAACTTTTTGTCTTTTTTTCCAGTTTGAGCTTTCCTAACCAGCCACTGGATCTTTTATGCTTTTGTCTGATAGACTAAAGAGCCCTCTACCATCCGATATCTTATATGCTGGAAATGGCCCACCTTGATTATCATGCACATTGTAAGGAGAGTGGTCAGTTTGGATGAGCTATTGCCAGCAGGAGAGTGAGTTTGTGGGGGGGGAGGGTGAGAAAACCTGGATTTGTGCTGGAAATGGCCCACCTTGATTATCATGCACATTGTAGGGAGAGTGGTCACTTTGGATGAGCTATTACCAGCAGGAGAGTGAGTTTGTGTGTGTATGGGGGTGGGGGGGTGAGAAAACCTGGATTTGTGCTGGAAATGGCCCACCTTGATTATCATACACATTTTAAAGAGAGTGGTCACTTTGGATGGGCTATTACCAGCAGGAGAGTGAGTTTGTGTGTGTGGGGGGGGGGGGGGGGGGCGGAGGGTGAGAAAACCTGGATTTGTGCTGGAAATGGCCCAACTTGATGATCACTTTAGATAAGCTATTACCAGCAGGACAGTGGGGTGGGAGGAGGTATTGTTTCATGGTCTCTGTGTATATAATGTCTCCTGCAGTTTCCACAGTATGCATCCGATGAAGTGAGCTGTAGCTCACGAAAGCTCATGCTCAAATAAATTGGTTAGTCTCTAAGGTGCCACAAGTACTCCTTTTCTTTCTGAATAGCTATTTATAAGAGTGTGTTTAAATCACTTCCTAGCCTTCTCTGTGATAAGATAAATAGAGCGCTTTTAATCTTCCATTGCAAGGCATGTTTTCCAGCCCACAAACCATTCTCATAGCTCTTCTCCAATTCCTCTCTAATCCTTTCTAAAATGTACACACCAGAACAGGATTCCAGCAGTGGTCTCACCAATTCCATATACAGGAACTCCTCACTTAAAGTCGGCGCAGTTAACATTGTTTTGTTGTTGATCAATTAGGGAACATGCTCGTTTAAAGGGGCGCAATGCTCCCTTATAATGTCGTTTGGCAGCCACCTGCTTTGTCCACTGCTTGCAGGAAGAGCAGCCCGTTGCAGCTAGCTGGTGGGGGCTTGGAACCAGGGTAGACCAGCAGCCCCCCCATCAGCTCCCCGCTCCCCTAAGTTCCCTGTGCAGCAGCCGCCCAGCAGGCTATCAATTGCAGTCAGTTCAGCTGTCCCTCCCCCTACTGCCATGTGCTTTTCCTGCCCTCTGCCTTAGAGCTGCTCCCCGAGCCTCCTGTTTGCTTTGCAAGGAGAGGGAAGTGGGGGGCTAATATCAGGGTGTCCCCCTCCCCTCTGCTCCTGCACCCCGCTTACCCCATTTCCATAGAGCGGGGGGGACAGGACAGGGCTCAGGACGGAGGGAGCTTCCTGGCAGCAGCTGCCATCTCAACTTGCTGATCTACTTAAAAAGGCAATGTACTTAGAGTGGGGTCAGAGTACTTAAAGGGGCCTTGTGCATCTCTCTCTCTCACACACACGGTGTGTGTCTCTGTTTACCATGCTGTCTCCCCTCCTTCCATTCGTGCTGCCTTGTAGAGTGGGAGGCTACATTAACAACAATGAATTAACCCTTGAGGGCTCAGCTGATTGCTAGTTCGTCATTTAGCAGTAAGGCAGTCCCTGGGAAATATCCCACCCTCTGACTTCACCACCTCAACCAAGCTTCACAATCATCATCGCTGTGTACCAGTATTAAATTGTTTGTTTAAAACTTATATTGTGTGAGTGTATGTATATATATAGTTTCGTCTCTGTTGAAAAAAATTTCCCTGGAACCTAACCCCCCATTTACATTAATTCTTATGGGGAAATTGGATTCACTTAACATCGTTTCACTTAAAGTCGCATTTTTCAGGAACACAGCTACAACGTTAAGCGAGGAGTTACTGTACATAGGTAATATCACCTCCCCTACTCATGCATGATGATTCCCTGTTAATCCATCCAAGTATCATGATAGCCCTTTTGACCACATCATCACACTGGGACCTCAGATTCAGTTGGTCGCCTATAAAGACCCCCTAAGTCCTTTTATGAATCACTGCTTTCCAGAATACAGACTTCCATATAGTAGTGTGACCTACATTTTCTATCCGTAGATATACGACCTGCACTTGCCTGTATTAAAAACACATGTTTGATTGCACTCAGCCTGCCAAATGATCCTGTTTGCTTTGTTGTGGGTAAATGTCAAATGCAGGACTCTACCAAATCAATACATTCCTTGTCACATGTTCACAAATCACTTGTTTTGTTGCATCTGCAAATGGCATCTCTGTTTGCATGCACCTCAAACAAGTAACTGGTCACATAAGCACTGAAGTCACCACTGAAAAGGCAACGTTCATTAAAAGTAACATTTGAGACACTTACTACCTAGTCTACCAAAGGGAAATACTCATCTACCTTAGAGGGCAGTTACATTTCCACACTGTGAAATGCCCGAGTGGACTAGGGAAGTTCAAGTCAGTATCTTTATTTATTTTATTTACTTCATGATATTTTATATCATTAACAATAGCTCTGAATGCAGGAATGTGCATGCACGTTCAATTTATTGGACCAAATTCTGCTTTAATGAAACTAGTGTAAACCCAGAGTAATTCCACTGATTTCAGTGGAGTTACTCTGGATTTACACCAATTGTAAATGAGATTAGAGTCTGACCCATCCTGATTATTTCCATAAATAACACGTGACAGAGGAAATTAAATGAAACCAAACACACACAGGACAACAATGACACCAAAATGTACGCTTTAAGCTTTTCTCCCCCTATAACACACATAACTCATTTTGTAAGTTTTTGTGTTCAACAAAGTGAGAAAATAACTGTGCCAGCTAGAATGGGAACAGCAGATTCATGTGCTTTGCAAGCTTCCCCATCCACACATACCCACACACAGATTGCTCTGTGAGTATTTTCTCTCTCATCTAAATTTTTAAAACACTGGCATGTCTGGAATAACATTCATTCTTTATGTAGCTCTACAACTTAATAATTAAGTAATGCTTCCACTAAGAAAGAGGGTAGCCATGAAACTCATCTATACTGTATATTTGCAAGCACATTAGGAATGCATAGTGCTGTCATCATTTCATTCCTGTGCCCTTCTGTGGTCCTTCATTATTATTCCTGAAGCTTACAGCAGTCTTAAACATTATAAAATATGCATTAGCTCATTCCATCAGGCATTCAGCTCTTTATTTAGCATGGCATGAGGGTGCTATCTTTTTACTTTTTTAATGGCATTGTTATAGTATAAAAATGAGAACAAGTGAGGCTTCCGTTCAAAACCCACACAGCTAAATCAACAACATGCTGACCAAGGAAAATTGAACAGCAGCTCTGGTAATATAAATATGCTTACCCAACACATGTACATAATGTTCTGCCTGTCAAGCCAAAGCTCAGCTGTTTAGGCATATTTGGAATTCTGAGTTTCTGGCAGGACACAATTTTCATCAGTATGAAGAGAAATAAAGTGATACAACAGCCCAAGCTAGAACTCCTGGGGGATTTTTGTGGATTATTATGAAGGCCTGTTTATTTCCTTACGAAAATAGTGGATCTAGGGCTCAGTATTGTCCAACTCAACCCAATAATACTATACCATAGCCTTTCGTAATAAGTCTCTCTCTAGTTCTTCTGTACACATGACTTTACTACTGCTGCCATCCACAACTTCACATCCCTATCACACCCTCTCTAACGCTCCCCCACACACACACACGCACACTGGGGGAAAAAATTGTACCCAATATAAATTCTCTTTTTCTCTCTGCTGTTTCCTTATTTTTGTCCACATGCCCTCATTCTGGATCAACACAAGCCTTTTATAGCATCTACAGCTCCCTTTAACATCTCCTTTAGAAGCTTCAAAACTTCAAATATCTCCCCTCTTATCCTCTTTTTCTCCCATGAATCTCAGCTCAGCTCTTCCAACCAATTTAGTCAATCTTGTTCTATCACCAAAACCTTTTCTATTTCTTCAGTATCCTTTCTTCAGTGTGATGGACAAAACTGGACACATTTGTCCAGCTGTGGCCTAATAAGTCCTTCAGAAACTAGTGCTAGAATCATTCTTCACACATTTTTGTCTGGGACAGAAGTTTATATGTTTCAGCATTCTCTTTAGATTTTGGGAAACAAGTTGTCATAGCCAACCCTAACTGAAATTCAGAAGCCATTTGTCCATTCCTATGCTTCCCACTGTTAAGGGAATTAAGAGTTCCTCTCACCTCGGGATTCATGGAATTCCAGCGTGACATGTGCATCAAATCCAAGGCTGAAGTAATTATTGAAGACACTGAGTGGAAGCTGCAATCAAAGACCAGAAAGAAAACATAGGAAAATGTTTTGATATAGTATGCAAGAAAAGAAGACCAAACATTTCATGTCATCCCTCAAATTAACAGCTTCTTGAAAAGCTAAATAAGGAGAGAAGAGAAAGCTGTGGGAAAATTTATATGCAGAGTTGCTATGAAGGCTGGAAACAACTCGCTGAAGATAATCAAATGCAAAAATGAAAGAACACAAACACATCTGCAGTGCTTTATGGTCACATAAGTGACTCTGTAAACATGACATCATGGGGTTCCCTATTTATCCTCTCTCAGCAATCTCCTACTTAACATGTCAAAACAAAGATTCTCCTAATTGCTGGCACTACAAGCTCAGCATGGCATCTGAAAATCAAGCTGTGTTCCTTCTGCTTCATACATCATCAGCAGCAATAAAGATCCTGGATTCAGAATTCGGCTGGTAATTCTGTTGATGATGCATGAGGCAGACTAGAGCACATCTGGCCCTTTCACTGCTATATTGGCTCTATTAGGCTGACAGGAAGGAAAGCTAGAGTTCAGTAAGTAAACTTGAAATTATAACTCAGAAAAGGTAGAGGGGCTCTGTGTGCAGGAACGAGGAGTCATTTTCACAGAATCCCTTTTCTGGCTATTGCCTTACTTTAACATAATTGCAGATTAAAATAGGAGAGAACAGAAATACAGCTCCTCCCATAACAAATATTGTCTCACCTTCCAACTCGCAGACCAAACGGGAGAAGGTCAGTGATGTAACGGGACCACACAGAGGGAAAGGGATGACAACTTCAAAACACAGAAGCTAACAACTCATACACAACACCTTGCTTAGAGAACAGATACACAACTGGTATCCACTAGCAGCAGCCCAAAGAATATATATATATGCTTTGTGGTTTTTCAATCAGTTAAGGACTGGATCATTTCTCACCACAGCTAACAAGGCAATGGGAAAAAGTAATAATCTAACAAATGAGATGCCACAGATTTTCACCCTTTGACCCAGTGAACAAGGAGTTTGTTCAAGTGCTCAGATATTGAGCATTATGAGAGACAACAAATGGGCAGCATGCTGTAACCGTGATCTACTTCTGAATGTGGTGACATCTATAAACTTGTAGTAGGGGGAGACGAGAGTGGAAAATGTTTTCCTGTGTCTTAGAAATCCCAGTTTGCATCCTCCAGGCTCTCTCTGCTGTAAAACAGGCAGCTCTAACCTTACGTGCCCCGTCCTCGATTTCTTCCTGTGGCAAATCAGGGTTTCGTTCCACCTGGAGGTTCCAGCGGTCCAGCTGGACAATAGTCCCATCTTCTACATGACAGAGGATCTTCGAGACAGGCTCATCGGTGTAACCCTGGAAGAAGAATGAGCACCACCAAAGGCTCACTAATGGACACATCACGTCACATGTTAATTACCTGACTGAGACACCAGTGACCGTGCCATGCCAGATCTGCATGAAGGAAGTTTGCATGAAATCCAGACTAAGTCTACCTAACCGGTTCATAAATGTATGTAGACTGTGGATGAACCAGGAACAGGAAGTTTGGCAAGCAACTGTTGAGAACTACAATCTCTGACTGGCACAGTAAGGCCAATGGTATATGGAGGTGACCTAACAGACTTTACTAACAGTGCCACGCCCTCTTCTGCAGTCCACAGGTCCTACTGACCACAGGTGTCAAGATTCCGTACACACATGCAATAAAATCCCTGCCCCAAATTGTTCATGAGATCTTGCCTTGTTTCATCACAAACCTGAAATGCAGTATGGGTTTGTGAACCTTTGGGCAGATGCAACCTGAGTTTCACATAAACCTTTTCATAGATGTCAGAGAGGGTTTGATGGTTTCAACCACAAACCATGCCAAAACGTGTTTGTTTCAGATGAATTGAGCTTTCACTTTTCAGGCTTGCATAAACCCCAAACCAAAGCAAAACTCAGAGGGTACAAATCCATAAGAACCAAAAACAAGCAAAAGTAGCATTCAAGAAACCACATGCAGCTGCTGAAATTCACACAGCTCATTTGCAGGATCTGGGCCAAAGCAAGCACTAGTTATCAGAGCAGCTGAGGTGCCCTGTATTTTACTTCATTGTGTGGGCATCATCCGATGAAGTGAGCTGTAGCTCACGAAAGTTTATGCTCAAATAAATTTGTTAGTCTCTAAGGTGCCACAAGTCCTCCTTTTCTTTTTGCGGATACAAACTAACACGGCTGCTACTCTGAAACCAATGAATAGCTGGTAAGTCACACATAAGAGGGTACTGGAGTCAGTGCTTACCCCTCCCCAGCTGAGGGTGCGAGCAAGGTCATTTCCAGTGCCAAGGGGAAGGACGGCAACAGGAGGCTGGGGGCTGAGCTGTAGCTCATCCAGGATGGAGAGGATCCAGCCCACCTGCAAACAGAGAACAGGAAAGGGAAAGAAATCAAATTGAGTGGATTTAAATGGTGAAAGAGAAAGAAACAGACTAATAGAGTTTATCCTCATCACACAGATAGTCAAGTGATATTAGTGGGAAATGCAGAAATGAGCACTGCTGAAAACCAACCATTTAGCCACCCTTCCTCAGCTTCCTCTTCTGCAAAATGGGGATAACAGTATTTATTAGCCTGCCTCACAGGAGTGTTACAAGGAGCAACTGGATGTCAAGTTGTATATAAATGCTGATTATTAAAAATAATGAATGGGCAATATTTATTGTTATATTGATTTAGCAACAATCACTTCCACCCTCTCCCTGAACAGGAAACAAAGCACCTAGAATTATGGACTTATATTTATACCTGACTGAACATTGCTTTGAGGTTTTTTTATTGAAATTCTTGTCATAAAACAAAAGACCTCCTTGGATTATCTTATGCAGAGTACTAAGAAACATAAAGCAAAACTAGACAGCGTTTTAAAAAGCTGAATAAAAAAAATAAGTTAAAAATTACTAAGAGCAAACATCTGAAACTCATCCTAATTATTTTTTCACAGTAACAGCATTGAAAGTAAGGGTTAAAGGGCACTGTACCACTGGAGATGCCATTCTTTAAATGAGGCACAAAACCAAGGTCCTGACCATTTATGGTTATCAAAGATCCCAAGGTACTTTTTGCAAGAGTGGAAATGTTAGCTTTGCTGTCCTGGCCAAATTCCTGCTTGAGCTCCAGTAGCTAAAGAATTCTTGTTTACTACTGAGTAGCGTTGCTTTGTGCTGTTCAACGGCTTTCACGTTCTACCAATAGGTGTGGATTAGTGGTATGTGGTAACGGAAGTGATTCTTGTAGGTATAGAATTTTTAAAGGACTGTCTGCATTTCTTTGAGCTGAAAAGGGCTATATTAGAATAATGTAGAATTTACACTTTAAAATGGTGGTATGGGAAACACAGCCATTGAGGGCCAGATTTTTTAAGGTCTTTAGGTACCTAGTGGGATTTTCAAAATGGGCTAGGAGCCTAACTCCCATACCTTTAAAAATCTGGCCCCTGGTGCTTAGAATAGGAGATGGAGTCAGGAAACCCTAAGCTGAAATCCTGGGCCCATTGAAGCCAGTTGGACCACCACTCTGCCATTGACTTGCTATCTAAAATTGAGCAGGTCACTTCATCTGTGCCTCAGTCTCCCGGTCTGCAGAGTGGAGATATTATTGCTTTGAAATGATACATAAATTGGTTCTATTTGAGTGGCAAGCCTTATTATTTAGTTTGACCCAGTCTCTAAATATCCAACAGCAATCTTGGGGTTAGGCGTGGCAAGGCCTACCATCTTCTGTGAACTGTGTGATGGTGAAAGGAGCAGAGACTGACAGCTCTGGAGCCTACAGCCTTCCTGTATCCCCCAGGAAAGGGAGAGCAAGCAGTGAAACTGGAAAAGCTACCGCCTTCTGTTTCATGTCAGCAAGGCAAAGTGATATCTGGTCTCACTGAATATTCACTGAGTCCATCTGCGCAAGATTTTTCATTGGCTTTTGGGACAATGAGATATTAATTTGTTTCAAATTTAACAGCCACAAAGATAAGAGTCTAGAGTTGTTCACAGTAACGCGAAGGTACTGCCCCCTATTGCTCATACTGTGAAGTCAAGAGAAAACAAGAGTTGGTAAGAGCCAATCGAGCTGCACTAATTTTTATATTAAAATTCTGTGGGCCTAGATTATCTCACATTATAGTTTCAGCTCCCTTGGATGGCAGACTGCATACATTTGACAAATAAATTGGAAAAGTACCTATTTTCACTGCGTCCCCCGCTAAAACGGTATCCTATAGGTTCTGGAGGAAACAATCCCTAGTGAATCACAAAAGATATCCCTTTGCTGGACCCTAGCTGGTTCACTCTTACTTTCTCTCCAACTGTGAAGGCACCCTTCCATTAATATTAATATGCACTAAGGCTGGGATTTTTACATGGGCCTAGGGAGATTAGACACCCAGTTCCCCCTGAAACTCAATGGGAGTTGGGGGCCTCATTCTTTAAGGCTCCTTTCATATCCCCGCCTATGTTCATTATAAACCGTTCCAACAGATTCGACCCCCAGTGATATAATTTCTCAGCTTGGGTGGCAGAGTTCTGTCATCAGGGTAGCCCCTACACTTTATATACCACCCTGGTGGAAATGCTATCTCAGAAGGGACAGTGCGATGTCATACACATTGGAGTATGACAAAATCACAGGCAATATTGAGAGAAGTTGATTATGAAGAAGAAAGATTCTATATTGGCTCACAAATAGGCTACATCTACACTAGGAAGTAGGGGTGTGATTCTCCTCCTCACATACATATGCTCCCACAAGCACTCAGTGAGCTAGCAGTGTAGCCGCAGTAGCACGGGGAGCAGCAGCAGAGACATGATTGAGCCGTGCCAGACACATATCCACCGATTTCAGGGGGGGTTGTACGTGGCATGGCTTGGCCACATCTCCACTGCAGCTACCTGTCCTACTCATACTTATGCGAACTCAATGAGAGCGAGCAGGAGTATGCGTGTATGAGCAGAAGAATCACAATCATATATATAATACTCAGCACCTACATACCTTAGATATTTATATGGTCCTGTCAGTGTAGAATCTGAGCACCCCACAATCTCGAATTTAGAGATCCTCATCACACCCCTGTACTATCCCCATGTTACAGATGGGGAATTGAGGCACAGAGGGACTAAATGACTTGCCCAATGTCACACAGAAAGTCTGTGGCAGAGCAGACAATTGAACCCAGGTCTCCCAAGTCCCAGGGTAGCACCCTAACCACTGAACCATCCTTCCTTTCATGCACAGATATCAAAATACTTTACAAAGGAATTGGGAGAGGAACATACAACTTGCCTGTAGTCGCAAAGGGAGACAATGGCAGACATCAAATAGAAACTGGATCTCCTGACTCCGAGTCACGTACCATGGGCATAGTTGGGCAGGACAGAGGTCATTGTCCCCCCCAAACTGCAAGCCTTGGACAGGCATGGAGTTTGCCCCCCACCACCACATATGGCCCTGCTGGCCTGACTGGAACTGCCCCCCCTCCCTAAATACAGAAGTCAAACTATGCCTACGTCACATACCCTTCCCACTGGATCATCAGTTTTTGTATATCAGCAACAGTCAGAATGGTGATACAGCAGAAGAAAAGACCAGCAAAAATGAATATTGTTCAGTTGTAAAAGCTGCTTAAGGGTGAAGGAAGCTTTTTTAGGCATAGTGTCACAAACATATTTTATGCATAACAAGTATGTAATCCACAAATATTATAACAGATAGCACCTTACCACCAGATATTCTTAATCGGGGTGCAAGGGAAACGTTGCAATATATTTTATCATGTTGAAAAGTCTCTTAATTATTAATGTTCCCTTCAAGCAGATACTGGACTGAGGTCTCCCTTGCAGAGGCTTTTTTGTCCAACTCTGTCCTTTCCGAGTTACTGGAGACAATCATCAAGTTTGACATGAAACGCACAGAATACCTACCGTTCCATCCCCACCGCAGGCCAGGATTCGCAGGTTTGGCACTTTTCTGTACAGTTCAAGTCTGGCAGGGGAAATGAAGGAGGAAGGGGAGAGTCGTAAGGAAGAACATAGGATGGAAGTGAGCAATTAGAAATACAGTGACTGCAATAAGGGATGCTTCACTCATAGACAATAAACAAAACAATGGAGGCAGTTGTACATACCAATGAAAAAAATATTACCGAGTGCCAATTTTATCACTAAGTACAGTTACTTCACGGTGTAGAGTTCAGTATCAGAGATAGGCAGTGGGATGGAAAGAAAATCTGCCCTTACAACAAAAATGCTGCATGTTTGGAACAACTACCAGCCACTGCTCAAGAAAAGTTTACACCTGGAACAGCAAGGATGCTGTAGATCAGGCTGTGGCTTTCAACCTTTTTTCATTTGCGAACCCCTAAAAAATTTCTAATGGAGGTGCAGACCCCATTGGAAATCTTAGACAAAATCTGTGGACTCCAAGGGCTCTGCAGACCACGGGTTGAAAACCACTGCTGTAGATTAAGAATGAAGTGCCCCAGCAACGTGGTGTGGCCGAAGCTTGAACCGTGTCTGCCTCAAATAGTTTTGGTTCAACCAGTGCTGATAGTAACTCACTTTCACCAAAAAATTCACTCCAGTATCTGACACTAGTAATGCAGATCTCAGTCCACTGTAGAAAGAGACTGCAGGAGATTGTTAGTTATCCTGGAGCACCCTCTACTGGTACTGAAAAAGGCTACAGGGCACAGGTGTTCTCATATGAAAGCTTTTCCATAAGGTAGAACTTCACCTCTTAAGAGCTTCATGCTTCATAATTCATTTCTCATAGATTTCATGTTTGTTCCATGTGCTTTGAAACGAAACAGCTTATTTTCCTTAAAGCAGTAATGTCTTTTGACTAGTATGACCATAGTAAATAGTATACTACCAAGGGTTAAGCGATATATTAGGCCTCCTTTCCCAACTGATCGCTCAATTACTCAATTCAGCAGTAATTCTCCATACAGAGTCGTGGAACTTGGTTTTGTGGAAGAAAATTAAATCCAATTGCTGCAGATATGACTATGAAAAACGAAAAGCCTATCGGGAAGCAAGCATGGGCTCTTTCTTCCATGGCTCACCAGGCCTTATTCAATTGGATTAATTTTGGTTATTTAAATCTGCAGTCAAGCTGAAAGGAGAATTTCTCGCTCCAGCTCAGAAGCTGGGAAACTTCTGATTTTCTCCTTGTATAAAGCAAACAAACCTGAAATTGAAAATCAGACTGTAGGTTGAAAACGCAAACACTCACTTTCAGGCCTACTGAGAGTCCTGGCAAAAGTAGGAGTAGGGCTAAAGTAGGAATATAGCCCTTGCATTTGGGGCATTTCTCCTGCCAGCTCCCCTAACTCCCACTATGTTTCCTCTAGACGGCTAATCTCCCTCTTACTTCTGAAACAGATGATTATATTGTGGAGGCACACATGGATCAACTGGGTGTTTTTCTGCTGTGTTTACACAACCGCCTTCCTACTAAGCATATTGGTGGGTTCCAGTCCAATTATTAAACTGGCAGGGAGAGCAGTCTGCTAGAAGTTTGAAGGTGTGCAGCAAATTTCATATCACCAGCAGGACTGGAGGGAGCTGAGGAAATGGAGAACAATTACAGGTTTGGTGGGAACAAGGTAGAACAGAGGGAAAACGTAAAACTGGAGAAACAAAATCCAAATTTCCTCCCAATGTTGTACAACCTCCTCTACCTCTGAGTGAAACTTGACAACTATGAATTTAGCAGGGATTCAGCCATCACCATGGTGTTGTCTAAACTACAGAAATTTACCTTAGTAAGTATTTGCTCCTCAAACAATTGTAACACACCTTGCATACATACACAAAAGTGCTCCAAAGAGAGTTGCCACCCACCTGGGTTTTATCCGGAGAGTCCAGTCTTTGGTTTTCTGTGTCTGGTTGCCATTTAGGGTTGCCATGTGCCTGGTTTTTAACCAGAAAGTAGCATCCGCACCAAAAGTCTGGTTACCGCAGGGCTAGGGGAGGTGCCACATCACTAACCTATGGCAGCCCCTGCTCATCTAGAGCCATATCCTACCTGCAGGCAGGCCCCTTGAGACAATCCAGCGCGTGATGGGGAAAGGGGAGAGGAGCTAGCAATGGGGATGGGGCTTTGGGAGCAAGAGGCGGAGCCTCAGGCGTTCAGTTACAAGCAATTCGAAAGGTGGCAACCCTAGCTCCAAAGAGTTTTTAGTGGGGCTAAATACCATGTAGATTATGCTTCATCAGGGAATAAAGACTGAGCTGAATTATTTTAGTACTAATTGTTTTAGGGACAATGTAGATATAGACAAGCTGAAACTAGTCCTCACATTACCATCCCACAGTGCACTGATGGCCTTTCAAAGTCTCCCAGAATGCAGTGTTGTTGGGAGCTGTGCCAGCAACTCTGGGATAGGTAATCAGAGAGCTGAACTGGTTTAGGACAGTGCTAGTGTGGGTGTGGAGCTACCCTGCAAGGTTTCAAAGCACAATTTAGCAGGGCTAGTGAGGATGCACTAAGCCATTTGTGCTTAAACCTGTGTGATACAAGTCCCATTAGTTCCGTTACCGGTGTTTCATTTCTGTAGTGCGGATAAGGCCAACAACAGTTCATCGTATTTCTTCACCACTGGATATTCAATCTGAGATACCAATAATTTAGTCAAAAAGGAACGATGATAAAGAATAGCTGTGATGAAATGATACGGGGATGGCAGATGACCATGGTGAAATGCAATCCTGATGAAAGACCACACAACTGAATAATGTGGATCCAGGTACGAGGGACCCTGGAGTATAAATTGAGGGGCTGATTCTCATTTACACTCAAGCCCTTTTACTGTGCTCTGACCAACTCAACTTACACCCACTTTAAGGCCTCATTACACTGCCAGAGTGGTAGGAAGGAGTCCTGGTGTACATGAGAATGAGGCCCTGAAGTTTTGGATGTACGGACAATAAAAACTGGGAATTGTATCTGGTTTATGTTCTGCATGATCTTCGGAAAGGAACGATTTATAAATAATTAAATAAATTAAATGCCTCTTTGTTGGGTAACAGACAGAGACGCGATCATTTCCAGCCTCCCTCGTCAATGAAAGGAAGAACTGAAATCCCTTGTCAGCCAGCCCCTGCAAAAGGGAAGACCTGCTTAGCTGCCTGGGGGAACACTATGAGGTAAGCTTTGCCAGCACTGTGCCTGTGGCCCAGGGAACTAAATTACTACGTGGGCAGAGATGGTTACATACAGTTGCCACACCTGGAGAGTCACATCTGGTCCCCTGTAATGGATAACTGTTAGAAAAAGGTCAGCCAGCATGTGGCTGATGACTTGGGTACCCAGCAGAGATTTAGGCATGGTGCTTTGTTCAATTAGGCTGCCCCATGACTACAGGAGTCTGACCACCCATCCTATGTACTAAGGAAGGTCCTTGATTGGGTGCTGAATGCATATAATAAGAAAATGATAAAAACCTTTTGATCAGATAAAAAATGTTTTAGAGCAGCAATCATATAACATATCAAACAGTGTGATATGAAGTATGATTTTGTATCATGACTAAAATATGATATCCCTTAATGGAAACTTTTGTCCTGTATTTTTCATATATACTTGTCCTGTATTGCCTTGAAAAATAGCAGGTCACCCCATTCTTCAGCTACTCCCTTACCATAGGAAGTGCCATCTCTAACTATATCATTTCCAGACTTAGTGTTTTATTTCATTATTTGGCAGGGCTCTTTCAGAAAATACAAATCACCTTACAACAGGGACACCCACAATTTGCCCAATTGAGGTGGCCACTTGCCAGGACACAAAAGTTCACACCTAAATAGCATGCAATAGAACAGATTACACCCTCCCACCTTTATTAGGGTGGTACAGTTCATGGAGGTTACAGGTTTCAGCATACAGTGCTCCCTCTTGATTAAAGTGAACTCCACTCCACTACATGGAGGTTACTCAGCACCAAGATGAAGCATTGCAAGCTGGGCCCTAGAGTCTCCACACATCTATATAAAAGAGGCAATGGCAAAAAAATCCAACCCTAAATTAACACAAAGTTAAGGATGCTTGGTGGTATATTGTCCCATTTCAGAATACTGAGTTGAGCAAAAACTTAAACTTCTGAAAACCAGGAAATGCACAATTAAGGTGCAACCTTAACTCTGCCCTCTTTCAGCCATGCCCCAAGATGCCCTGTTAACACACAAACCTTTACTTTGCCACCACACAGTTAATGAAATATACAAGCTCATCCCCTCCCAACTACTATAGTTCTCCCTCCCACTTCACTAGCAGTAAATGCAGCTCCCTGAAGTGTTCATTCTCTGCTATTCAAAATTTCTATTACTCTTACTCCCCCCCCCCCCTCATAACTCAACTGAGGTGCCTGGAGTGAAGGAAAACTATGTTACAGTGGAATGGTGTTCCTGGCTGTGTTTCAGAATGGTTGGAGGGTGAAGTTTGTGGCAGGGCCAGTGATAGAAATCACAGGCAAGGTTTCTGTTCCAAATGACTGACAGTTTTATGTTTGAGAGAAAGATCCTCTGACCCTGTCCAACAGATGTACCCCATCTCCTAGAAACAACGAAGTGCCAGAGCTTGTAATGTTTCTATGCCATATAATGCACATTTTGCAGTAGGCCATGAACCCTTCAATTTCCCAATTAATATTCTTCTAACCTTATTAATAGACTTTGAATTGCCACTGTAGCAATTAGACACTGAGCCAAATCAGAGAAAACTATCACAGCTCCTGGACTGATGAAGTCCAAATCTGCTCTTATATATTGTATGTGGTGCACACCAGGAATAATGCTCAGATCATTTCAGCCCAGAGTGAATCACCGTACTCTATGATTGATCAAACCTCTTAACTCACCAGTTAGACATTGCAGAGTGGATAAAATACAGGCCCCCAAAACTACACCAATGGAGGCTACCTCTCTCCACCCAAATTAGCCTGTAGTTAGCAATCCCCATGTCACTCATGGTGTAGTCCTTGCTCTCCTGCAAACTTTGGGAACCTCATGATCCAAGAATCACCCAGAATCCACATTAGCAACCCTGGCAGTGCACATCTTTCTCTCCCGTCAGCACTCAAGGTACCTGCATTGTCACGTGTATGAAAATCGATAGAGGTCTATAAAATCTTGACTGGTGTGGAGTAAATGAATAAGGAAATGTTATTTGCTCCTTCACTTAACACAAGAACTAGGGATCATGCAATTACATTAATAAGCAGCAGGTTTAAAACAAACAAAAGGAAATATTTCTTCACACAACACACAGTCAGTCTGTGGAACTCATTGCCAGGAGTTGTTGTGAAGACAAAAACTATATGAGGTTTCTAAAAAGAACTAGATAAGTTAATGGAGGATAGATCCATCAATGGCTATTAGCCAGGGTAGTCAGGGATGCAACCCTGTGCTCTGGGTGTCCCTAGCCCCATTTTTCCGGAAGCTGGGAATGGGGGACAGGGGAAGGATCACTTGATGATTACCTGTTCTGCTCATTCCCTCTGAAGCACCTGGCATTAGCCACTGTCAGAAGACAGGATACTAGGCTAGATAGACCATTGGTCTGACCCAGTATGGCCGTTCTTATGTTCAGTTCCAAACCTCCACCCTGTGTGTCTTTAGAAACACTACATTAATCTGCCCCAAGATCAGGAAGTAGCCACTTGCTTTCCTTCCCCAGCCAGAGGCCAGTAAAATATAGATTTTCTGAAATAACCAATCCAAGGCTTGCCTACCACCCGTCCTCATTTCCCAACCTCTCTGCAGCCACAACCCCTCACCCTGTCCCTGATTCCCCCTCCTCACCCTCAACACACACATACACCCAAAGTCCCCTGTCTCCGGCTCCTCCCCACCTGATAAAACAAAAAAATTGGTTAGACTGGCTGCTGACTATTCTGCTTTGTTCATAGTAAACCTCCACATAAAATAAAAACATGTTGTCTTAGAACAGAGACAACTTGTAGCAAACAACTTATTAAATCTGTATTGCACAGATGTACCAAGAATGTCAGTGGAAGGTGCTCATCAGGGGCAATGGCATCAGCACTTTCCCTCAGACTACCCAGGCAGGCATTAAGTGGCTGCATAGAAACTCTCTCATAATCTTCTACTTTATTGGAGTGGTTTCAAAATTCTCACAGGGTTACTGGTCTAGTCAGTCAGTGGGGCAGGCCGGGCCGGGGAGGAGGGAAGCTGTAGACATGATATATTGTACTTTTAGTAAGGCTTTTGACAGTCACACATGACATTCTCATAAGCAAATTAGGGAACTGTGATCTAGATGTAAGGTCTATCAAGTGGGTGCACAATTGGCTGAAAAAACGTATTCAAAGAATAGTTTGCTGTCAAACTACGGTCCCACAGGGGTCTGTCCTGGGTTTGGTACTATTAAATATCTTAATTAATTACTTGGACAGTGGAATGGAGAGTATGGTTATAAAATTCGCAGATGACACCAAGCTGGGAGGAGTTGAAACACTTTGGGGGACAGGATTAGAATTATCCTGAGACAAGAATGAACTGTTAGTTGAGGAGGTTTTCTACAAAATACTTGGGAGAAGAGCAACACAAATAGCCACCTCCAGACCTAATCTTTTGAAGCTTGCCCCCAAGGAAGGGACCTTTGAATTACTTATTCCTAGGATCAAAAGGCCCAAATAGCATAAAGGAGTAACTCCCAGATTCACAACTGTTATGAACTTTTGACCACAGAGGGGTTTGAAGGATTGTTCACCAGCCAGAGCCCTTATTGCAGCTGGGGTGTAAGCTTATTACCATGCATGTAGGTTCTTTCGTTGTTTTTAATATGTTTTTTCTGTAATCCTCTTTCCTTAAGAATAAATGCACTTGCTTAGAAAGAGCTGTGTGGTAACAGCTATGGGCAGTTATGCTGTTTGTAGTCTCTGAGGAAGGAAGGCAAAGCAGGCCTGCTGAGACAGTCTGCCTTGCTAAGTAATAACACAGTGCAGCAGGGAACTGTCCAGCCTGGAAAAACCCCAGTTGGCAGGGAGAAGCGAGTCTCCACCCAAGAGAGGTGATGGCTGGGCAGCCGAGATTTTGAGAATAGGTGCTTTTGCTAGACCATGAATGGCAAATACAGATGTAATTGCCCTGAACTGCAATACCCATCACTGAAGGTTTTTAAGAACAAGTTAGACAATATTTGTCAAATATGGTCTAGGTATACTTGGTCCTGCCACAGCATAGAGGGCTGGACTAAATGACCTCTTACGGTCCCTTCCAGCTCTGTATTTCTATGATTCTGTGTGCACGGTTATCTTTCCAGACTGCACATTTATGTAAGTGAGGAAGTGGACACTGGCAGCAGGTATATTAGGTCAGGGAAGACTCTGCCTTCCTTGGCTGGAGCCGCTGCCGCGGGACACTGGGCTGCGGCTGCTCCGGCTGGCCTGGGGCTGGGGCTGCTCGGGCCGGTGGCCCGGGGCTGGGGTTGGCCAGCTGGCATCGCTAGAGCTTGGGTCGGTCGACCAGCTGGGGCTGGCCAAGGACTGAGGGCGGCCTGGGGTTCCTCTGGTGGCAGGGGGCAGCTCGGAGTTCCGGCCGGCCTGGGGATTCTCTGGCTGTGGGAGAGGGTTGGCAGGGGGAACTCAGGGCTCCTGCCATGGGAGGCAGGGGTCTCATGTGGCAGGGGTGGGGCCACTGGACTAGCCTCCCCAAAGGGGGGGTCCAACCACCGCTCATGGAAGTGAACATGCTCTTAAACACTATTCATAATTTGGGTCCCCCAAAAACTTAGTGGGCACCATGCAATACACAGTATAAAAATTGACCGTTTGAGACTATATTGACCCACATCACTGCAATAGTTTTATCTCTAGCTCTGCACAAAGACAGAAAATACCTAGAAACTTTTTGGAAAATGGTTATTTTTTCTGGGCTTATATCTCTGGAATCCCTTGCTCAAATGACCCCCCCTTATCCTGGCATTAACCCTACTCTTCACTTCCACAAGGCACAGCAAATTCCAAGAAAATCCACACAAGCACCTGGATTTTAGAGCACTTGGATAGTTGTCTTTTAACAAGGAAGGACAGACAGAGGGTGAAAGTGGAAAGTTTCCCCTGCACATCCAGCTTCACCACAGGAGACTCTGAAAGGCATGAACTGACCTGTTCATCTCACTGTGATGCTCTCAGCTGCATGAGAACACCCCTGAATACAGCCTGAAACAGTAGCTCTGAGGTGTGTGAACTGTTCCATTCATCTCCGTGTGTGTTCTCATCTCCCTAAGGAGAGCTTTTTAGAGCCTGGGATATGTACAGAGTATGCCTGTTCTCAGCTTCCTACCCAAAGGGGGCAGGACTTCCCAAGATCCTGGCTCACATGGGGGGCATGGAGAGGGGCTTCAAACCCTCCCAAATGGGCATGCTCCCTCCTGAACTCAACTCTCATGAGGGGGAAGTAAAGGGAGGCCAACCCCTGTAAATGGGCCCAGGGCCCCCAGATCCTGGCTCACACATGGGGGCAGCAAGAGGATCTCAGACACCACCAGTGGGGCATGGTGTCCCATATCTCAGCTCATATGAGGGAGGCAACAAGGGACCCAGACCCTCACTAGAGGTGTAAGAGCCCCCTAGATCTGGGCACACATCTGGGAGGGGAAATTGTGGGGTTGACAGATGCCCCTGCTCCTATTCTCCCCCCCCGTTCTCCTGCCACTCACCCCCACATCTCCCTTCCCAGTGTTCCTCCACTCCCTCCACCCCCAACTCTTCCCTCACCTGAGCCCCCTCCTCTCTCACCCCTCCCTATTTATGTCCCTTCCATAACCCCACCCACTGACCCCTAATACCTTTCCCCTCCCACCAAGGATTCATGTCTCATTATTTTACTTTGATTACATTCCCTCCAAAATAAAATTGCCACTCATGACTCACAAATTGAAGCAACTTCCAGCCACTCAGTCTCAAACTCTTTTTGTTTTAAGTGGGGGCTTGTGATTAATTTATCCTTCCTTATGATAACTGAAGGGTCAGGTCACAGCCATCAGTTTCAATGAGGTCTGTGCATCCAGTCATTAGTACCTTTCAGTTTAACAGAACAAGGCAGCAGAAGGATACTGTTTTTGCAGGGCCTGTAACTTGGGAACCCATTGGTCAAATAATCCCAAATTTGGATCACTAATGCTACCCCATGCCCCCATGAGGCACACCAAAATTTCAAAGCAATCCAAGTAACCGTCCAGATTTTAGAGCACTTACAAGAATTGAGCTTTAAAGCATGTAAAATCGTGGGAATGGGAAACCTCTAGCTGTTTTACTGTAGTGGTGCATGCAAACTGCACAAAATGTACATTTTCTTAAACACCATTCTCAGTTTGGGTCTCCCAAAGATTTAGTGGGTGCCATGCATGACCTTGACTGAGACCACTTTGACCCATATCACATCAATAGCTTGATCTATAGCTCTCTGCACAAAAACAACCCACACAGAAGTTTTTGGAAAATGAAATGTGCAGTTAAGCAAGTACTTAAGTCCTTTGCTGAATAAGGATGGACACAAGCATGTGCTTAACTGCATTGCTGAATCAGGCTCTAAACAGCGGGTCACACTTTGATAAGCCTGGCCAATCTGCCTATTACTATCAGGAAGCCCCATCCAACCTACCCTTTGCCCACATACTTAACAAGCAAAGAAAGAGGTTGGCAATGTTAAACACTTCAGTACTTACGCATCTCTTGGCCCTTCCTGAGAGAGATCAAAGACTTGGCGTGGATTCAAGTACCACATGAACATCTGGAGAACCTTAGTGCCCTGTTAGGATAGAAAATGGAAGGAAAAGAAATGAGCGAATGAGCTAATGACTCTTATACGTAATAATATTTATCATTATTAACTTAATCTTCGTAGTACCTTTCATTCATTTGTGCTTTACAGAACAAAAGCAAACAAAAAAAGGAGTATTTACTAGCAAGCCAAAACAAAAGCCATCCATTGTGACAGATGATTGCCCTAGAGAACAATCACGTGACCTACCATCCCACTCTTTCTGTATTTGTAGCCTCTTGGGGCAGGGACTCTCTTTTTATTCTGTGTTTTTACAGTGCCTGGCACAATGGGGTCACGGCCCATGACTCAAGCTCTTAGGTCTTCAGGTAATATTAATAACAACAACAACATATTTCAGAGTAGCATCTGATGAAGTGAGCTGTAGCTCACGAAAGCTTATGCTCAAATAAATTTGTTAGTCTCTAAGGTGCCACAAGTCCTCCTTTTCTTTTAGCAGTGACATATGTCCATTGAATTTAGAATGCAGATGTGTTGTGGCTTCAAATTCACAGTAGAGCTAGTTGGAAAAACTGTGATGGAACCATTTTCCATCAGAAAACCCAGTTATGGCAAAATCAAGATGTTTTGTGAAATAGTTCCAAGTTTGCTGAAATTTTGTTTTCGAGAAAAGCATACAAAAAAAAGTTCTGGCAATGTTGAAACATCCCATTTCAACATTTCCTGAAACAAGCATTTTTATTTTTCATTTAAAAATGACGTTTCATTTCAACATTTTATTTTATATTATAATAGAATATAAATGTTTTAAAAGGTCAAAATCAAAACTAAACAACAAATATTTCAGAATTTTCCTTTGCAGGGAATTTTGAAATTTTTGTAATGACGTGTAAACCCACTGTTTACTTCAGCTCTGCTTGCATGACTAAAGTGTTCAGCCTGCTGCTGACAGCTTGATAATGGAGCAATATGCCTAAGCAACTGTGTCATGCTTTGAAACTCAGTTTTCTAGAGCTCCGTTTCCGACATATTTACAGTTCAGGACTATGTGGCTTTCCAACATACAGTACGCGGCCAAGGGATGTTGGGAGATTTCTCTGATTAAACCAAACCAATGGTGGGACAGGAGGATGACTGGCAATTACTCTGGAGAATCGGAGAGCTCCATTTCTGTGGAAAGACTGAGGTTTCCTGAAAGACTCCAAGCCACTATTCTGGTTTCCTCTCAAAGAATCAAAACCTGGGAGGAAGATCACACAGAACAATCCAAACCTCAATTCAGGTGGGAAGAAGATTTACTGGGAAGGGTCCAGTCCTCCATTCTAGGAGTCTGCATCCCAGGTCACATGCAACCCTCCCTTTCTGTGCCTCACCTGAAATCACTTCATGACACATAATTTAAAGGAATTTGTAGAAACTTTCCCACGCGGATCAAGTTGATGCCTTTACCTGATTCCCTCCACTTTTTGGATTGACAAACACCAGCAGTGGTTTCATGAGAAGCGAAGAGATGGGCTTTATCACAAATGGTCGGCCTTTGTTTTCCTGCAAAATCAGAAGTGGTAGAGTACTTTAATTAGAGCTATGCAAAACTAATGCTAAAATCTCTAGTAAAAAAAAAAATCACAAAGCATTCTCAATTTTGTTTTTAGATGCTTTTGTGGTCATGAAAGCCACTAGATTAACAATCCCTGTGACCTTTGTCAGAAAACAGCCATAGCATATAGACGACAAGATTCCCTGTGCACCCCCTCATCACACCTCAACTATTCAGCCTAGCCTATTCTACCTAGAGAACGAATCTATGCAACCCATCTAAAGATGGGAGGATAGGTCAACCTGGGCTGGCTGATTGATAGACATGCTGGATTTTAACTGGCAGGCTAGAGATAAAAATATCCATTCAGTCCACCGTTCAAATAATATTAATTAGGACTTACCTCATTGCTTCTTTTGCTGGCTTTTCTTTTAAAGGACGTTCTCTTCTTCCGCCGGGTTGAAGTTTTTAATGAGTTCTATGAAAAAGAAAAAAAAAGGATACATGGAAAGCAAAACAAAAATCAAGTCAGCCCCAGAAGTAGCCTCATTTAAGAAGCTCCTTCATGCATAGTCCATTTGGAGAATGATACAGTGTCTGGCACATGCTTGAAGTTTAGATCACATGCGTCTCATGCTTTACACTTTCACACCACCGTTGATGGAGAAAGCCACACACGGAGACCAGACTGGTGCTTTGAAACTGGAAGCTTTCCCACGCCGTGGGGAGAAAAATCTCAGATACTCCCATAGACTCACATAACACCACATGTTGTACCTGCCAACCCTCCCAATAGGGGTAGGAGACGCCCGTTTTCCCTCCGGGGCTCCAGTCTCCTTCCCAATCAGGCTCGTCTCCTGGTATGGAGACCACCTGCACAAAAATGTAATAAAACATGATAAAATGAGCTATTTTTTCATGTTTAAAAAACAAAACAAAACAAAAACAAAACAAAACAAAACCCCAGTTTGAGCTGTGGTGACCACCCTAACTCAACATAATGCATGCCACCACTGCATATGATGCTGGCAGACAAAGTCAAATCTGGCCTACCATGAAACTAGTGTAATAATCTGATAGAGAACCTTCTCTGAATTTTTAATATTTAAGGGTTTCATTTTTCTAAAACAAAAACAAACAAAAATCTCTGCCACTCTACTGCTGAAAAAATAGTTAAAACAAATAGATATTTTGTAGGACCTACCAAAAAATTCCATCAGCAACAGCAGTTAACTAAAAATACTTGTCTTGCCATGAGTGCAGGGGACTGGACTAGATGACCTCTGAGGTCCCTTCCAGTCCTACAATTCTATGGGGAGAAAAAAAAAACTATTCCCCAGAATGGCGCAAACTTCATTGATGGTGGACCACAGAAATGTGCTGATGTGGTCAGGGCCACTTTTCGTTTTTTAATTGCTGCAGTTGTTGAATTAAAATAGCCATATCCCTATAAATTTTCTCCCTATTCATGTAGCGCTGAGTTTCAGATGAGTTGAAAACACTGCGAAAATGGACTTTCCCCACAGTATTTCAGCTTAGTCTATTCAAAACTAGGAAGTACAGTGGGGCAGAAAATTAAAAGAAAAAGTGCAGAACTTCTAACCTCAAGAAGTGAACAAGTTCCATTCTTTTCTTTTCCCCAAAAAGTTCAAGTCAGTCTTATTTTATCCAAATTGATCTAGACATCCCTACTGAGAAAAGTTTCACTGGCCCAGAGACTTGTGAGTGGACACGGCAAAGCTATTCATCAGAATCGGCTGTTTTTACTCAACCTTCGTCTTCAGCCAACAACCCCATTGCATTAAATAGTGTATTTACTGGATTCATTGCTTGATTCCCCAATGACCAGCTCTGACGTTTCAAATAAGCCAATTTTCCTGTTGCATTTCACCATGCATAAAGGGATCGGCATTCACATCGCGCTCCCGGTCAGTACCCACCCAAGCCAGGGAAGCTAATGATCCAACCAGAGGACCAAATTTGGTTATGAATCCTGGTCACATGCCACCTGAGGCATGTTGCACCTATGCTAAGAAACAGGAGACTGGCTCTATAAAAGTGCTCTAAACTTCCCCTAATTTGGTGCATATGAACATGCACAAGAAAGCATCATTTGTTATTAGTCTGCACTGACAGGGGTAGGTGGATGGATCATATATATCCTACTGTTTTTTTCACTCTCAAACAGTGCAATCTGACTGAAGGAGGATATGAAGTTTAAAATCAGTGTAATGAAGCAAAAAACATTTCTCCATCTGTAGTAATCACTGTAGAGATTCTTAGATTCATTCTTCAGATCTTCTCCCTGGGAGGATTTTTTCTTGAAACCTTGTCACTGAGTTAGACGCAGTGTGGCCTAGTGGACAGAGCACTGGACTGGGACTCAGGAGATCTGGCCTATATTCCCAGCACTGCCACTGGCCTGCTGGGTGACCTTGGGAAAATCAGTGTCTCCTCTTCTGTAAATAGGGATAATGTTATTTATCTCCTTAGTAAAGGGCTTCGAGTTCTACTGATGAAAAGCGCTATATATAAAGAGCTAGCACTATATCACAGCCATTGATTATACTTAATTATTTTACAGGAAGAAGCTGACAATCTGCTCTTTAGTGGAAGGAACTAAACCCAGTACAGCTCTTCTGGATAAAGCCGGGACAATTAGGGAAAGTAGCATTATCCTCATTAAAAAATAACCATTTGTAAATATATTTGTTGCCAAATCACGTTGTAAGATAGCTGCTTTTTTGCCATTGTGGACAAAAAAACCCCCACATTATAACTTTATTAGAAGAACATGCCATGGTCTCTGTATCTAGCAGGATTAAAATATAATAGTGTTTTGTATCTGCACACACTGGCAAGAAAAGACATAATGTGGTTTTGTCAATACTATATTACGCCACAGTGTTTAAGTAGGCCTATTTTTGTGATATTTAGAGAGCCTGAATGTTTTCTACAACTTAGCAACAGTAGCTATACAACAGGTAAGAGGCAGGGGTGCTGGTTATACATATGCAAACTTTCATTTCAAACTGGTGAAAGAATAGCAGCCCTGGGAGACCGCTGGGGTCTACACGGTGTGATGGGGCAAGGCCAGATGGCTATAGCAAAGTAGTGGGAGATAGATATATTAGCTCCAGGCTAAACAAATCCCTGGTACCAGGATAAGTGAAATGACAGCTGCTCCAGGTCAATTAAGACACCTGGGGCCAATTAAGAACTTTCCAGAAGGCAGGGAGAATGCTAGGTTGATTGGGACACCTGAAGCCAATCAGGGGCTGGCTGAAACTAGTTAAAAGCCTCCCAGGTAGTCAGGTGGGTGTGCATGTCAGGAGCTGTGGGAGGAAGTTGTGCTGTTGGAGAGACTGAGTAGTACGCACCATATCAGGCTACAAGGAAGGAGGCCCTGAGGTAAGGGTGAAGTGGAGCTTGAGGAAGTGAGGGCTGCTGTGGGGGGGAAGTAGCCCAGGGAATTGTACATGTCATGTTTCTAAAAGGTCAGCTACCATAGCTGATACTAATAGGGTCCCTGGGCTAGAGCCCGGGCTCCCCCCCACCTTTGCCCCCTGATTAATCACTGAGACTGGGAGACAACAGAGACTGTGCAAGGAAGGATAACTTCTCCTCACCTCCCTTGCTGGCTTATGATGAAAATGGCTCAGTAGACTGTGACCCTTGTCTCTAGAGAGAGAAGGGTTACATGGAGGGTCACAGTGAGCCTCTGAGGCTAGCGAAATCTGCCAGGAAACACGGGACCCATGGAGGCAAGGACAGAGCTTTGTACAACGGTGAACTAAAGAAGTTGTTGCATGTGCCATCTTGTCCATATCAAAGCCTTTCTTCTCCACAGGAAGAGTATGGGTGTTTTGACAAAAACTAAATGCTATTCAGTGAAATTCCATCTACAGTAAAGAACACCTGTAAATGGATAGGCCTGTATGTAAGTCCTGGATAGTCTCTAAAAGAGGAAAAAAATCTCCTTGGTGGCAATAATTTTGTCCTTCTTCAAAGATATAAAGCACAGATCATAGTATGTCATGGTCATTGGAAGTGTTCCAAGCCCACTTAGATAGATCTATGGAAGGAGTAGGACAGGGCCCTCCTTGAGTAATGTCAGGTGGTGAACTGACAGTCTTAGGTAAATCCTTTTATCTAGAATGCTGCAGATTTAATTTTCAGAGGTTCTGAGCCTCAGTATCTCCAAATTACTTGAATGGGAGCAGCAGGTGCACAGCACCGATGAAAATCTGACCCTATGATCTTCAGGCAGTTCACAAACTGAAATAAGGACAGATAACAGTCTCACATCACTGGCTTCAGCCAGCAATAAAGTAAGAAGAGAGAGTAGCCCAGTAGTAGACAGCTTTTGCAAGCTCCTAAGGAAGGTTCCTAAGAGAAAGGAAAAAATCAGATTCACTCACCTTGATCATAAACCCTTTCTCAGCATTGGGACCCAGTTACAATTACTGCCTCTACTTTATATCCAGAACCTCAGAAGAAGGGCTGGCTCTGTAACTTCATCACCCAGATCCTTCTCATCAACTGCTCCTCTCTCCAACATGCACACACACAGGCACACATAGCAAGTCTGTTTAACAACATTCAGGCTGCCACGTATCAAAATATAAAAAAGGACACTAGCCACTGTAGATACCTGGAGTTGCTAACTGGAACAGGTAATTTATTTGAACTCCAGGAAACCAGACCCAGAGGCACTGAAAATTGTGAGAGACTACAGAAGAGGCTCACACAATGAACATCATGAAGGAGGTATTGAGAATTTGACATCTTTGTAAATGGGTCATTACATACAGGGATACCACCTGTTACAAAATTATCCAAACTGTTCTGAATTTCCTTCATCCTGCAAATAGAAGCTTGCAAGAAGGAAAAACTCCCCATTTTAGTACAGGCAGCAAGTCAACTAGAGCAAACTGACCTTATGCAATTACATCAGGATGTTGCATCACCAAGACACTGCTGGGAGTGAGAAAGAGGTCTATTCTTTATTTATAGTATTAGGAAGATGATGACCCATGGTCCATATAATGATCATGGAAAAACAATAAAAACAGAAAATAAAACTAGGTGAAGAGTCTCTTCATGAAGCTGTCTTGTTTGCTCAGAAACAACCACCAAAAGGAAGTAAGAGGCATTGCTAGAATCCATTTTAAATTAGTAGAAAATCCAGTCCAGGACTTACCTGTGACCAGTCTGAGTTGTTAATAAGTGGAGCTGAGCAAATAATTTACAGTAAAAATGTTACTAGATATATTTATTATAGTCATGGAACATCTACAAACAGATTTCTGTTTCCACGTATTTATTCATTCATTAAATTTCCTCTAATTTATTTATGAGTTTTTCTTTATTTTCTCCATGGATTGATTGCTGTGAATGTCTGATACTATCAGAAATCTAGACTGTGTAAATGGGTTAGAAATGGTCAAGTCATTCACAAGTTAGAGCTGGTCAGAAACCAGTGGGGGGGGGGGGCAATTTCAGTGGAAAATTTTGACTTTTCACTGAAAGACTGAAAATTTAAAACTTTTCAATTTTTCAGCTGAAAAGTCAGAATGTTCTAGAGAAAGATAACTTTCTGTGGAAAATTTCATTTAGTCAAAAAAGCAATTTCTCCATCAAAAAACAGTTTTTTTTTCTGGCTCTTTTATCAGGAGGAGGGATACCTGAAGACACTGGGGCTTTGAATCTCCCAGGAAGAAGTGGCTAGAGCTGATCAGAAAATACCAATTATTTCTTGCAGCAAATTTCCTTTTAATTGGTTTTGTTTTGTTTTTAATCTAATCTAACAAATTTTTTTTAATGAAAAATGAAAATAAAACTGAACATAGTTTGGTTTTCAAAAGTGGTTTTGGTAAACAAATGCTCAATGTTTAATCAACAACTTAACCAAAAAAAAAGAGTCAGGTTTCCATTTTTTTGTCCAAAAATTGAAAAACGTCAGCCAAAATGGGGACTTTCTGAACAAATGTTTGTTATGGTCTAAAAGCCTTCCCCCTCTACCGCATCCAACTCCTTAAAAATTGTTCCTTTGAAAATATTTTGACCTGCTTGTGATGGGGCACACCCCCTTTCCAATCAGTAGAAGGCTAATGAAGTCCTCTGAGCTCAATCCTTACCAAACATACACACCTTCAGAGCCTGCTCCAGTTGAAGGAAGCAAGCTTAAAATGGAGAGCTGCACACAGGAAGAGGCAGCAACCAGGAGGGAACAAGCTGACTATTGTTACAGAGTAACTGAGAGGGAAACAGCTAACAAGCCTCTACTGCCCAAAGACTTACCAAAACCCCCAAAAGACCTTGGAAAGGTCGAAAGGGCTTTGAACCTGCCTGAGTGTGACCCCCAAGAAAAGCCCTGCCTACCACATGGCTCTAGAGGTAGCATATAAACAGTGCTTGCTAGGAAATTTTTAAAATACTAAAGAAGTGGGTGCATCTGAAGTAGTGGGTTTTTTACCCACGAAAGCTTATGCCCAAATAAATCTGTTAGTCTTTAAGGTGCCACCAGACTCCTCGTTGTTTTTGTGGATACAGACTAACATGGCTACCCCTCTGATATTTAAAATACTAAACTTTTCCCTATCGGGGTCACACGGACCTTGCTCAAGGCACTGTTATCTCAGAAATAAGGCTACTATATGATCTAGAGGCTAGGGGCAATTTAAAAGTAATTTTGTCTCCACACATTCACCCAAAGTAACTGCATGTGCATGTATGATTCTAGTAGCAAATGAGACAGTGAGATCCTATTCTGATTCAGTTAGCTCTATGCCGGGACTCTGCTGAGAGTTTTTGGGAGCCCTGTCACCCTTCTGTACTAAGCATCATCCTATCATATCTAAAAAACTCTAAATTGCTCAAGACAGGGTACTTTGATATCTCTCACAGAGTGCCACGGATTCAGGTGCAGCTCCACAGGAGATGTAATCTGGGGAAAATTGGAATGGGGACACATCCTCCCAAAACAGTCAGTGAGTAATGGGATGAAGGGCTTACGCTCTTCCTCCACAGTATAGGATATACAGAGCTAGTGAAGATTTTTTTTCAACATAATTTATTTTGGGGGAAGGCAAAAATTGCTTGTTTTTTTAAAGAAAAATATGTTTTTTGGTGAAAAATAATTAACTGGAGCTGACTGAAAATTTTCTAATTTTGAACAAAAAAAATGAAAAACATGGCAATATTATTCACAAGAAATACCACAGAAAATTTATCCCACTTTTTGACCAGCTATGGAACTGGTCAAAAACATTCCAAGTCAGACATTTTTCAAAGGAAAAAAAGACAATTTTTCCAAAAAAAAATTCACCATTTCCCCCTATCTCCCAACCAGCTCAACTGTAATTGTGTTTAAAAAAAAAAAAGATTAATTTCAAAATATATATATTTTTTATCTTTTTTCTGACATTTTTATTAAAACATTATCAAAATGGTTATTGAAATGTTTTGTTTACCAACAACTAGAAATTCAGTAAACGAAAAATGCAATAACCATTTGGATACTATTTTCAATGTTTTTTGAAAAATATTCTATTTAAAAACAATCTTGAAAGACTTTGACAGAGCTGAAAATGGGACCATTTCAAACACCTTGGATGAGAAATAACATTGACATTTTAAAGTCTTTTGTGAAAATAGGCTTTCATTTTTTAACCAGCTGTAGGGTCCAGACAGTGCTGCTGACACTAAAGAATGAAACTGAAGAGGGCAGCATGGAGACAACAGAGGGCAAATAGCAGGAGCTCGGAAACCGCAGGAGGCAGGCTGACTGGCCACCGCCTTATCTAGATAACTATAAAGGTGCCAGGGAAAAAAAGAAGAGTCCTTCTATCAAATATATCTGTCTACGACCTTCCCACCCAACTTGATAGCCAGACAGAAGACTGGGACAGGGACATCACAAGGATGAGCACTGACCCCTAGTAAACTATACTTACAAGATGGGGGACTCTGCCTTGGGAAGCAGTGACTGAAGAGGCCATGGTGGATCAGCAGATGAACATGAGCTCCCAGTGCAGTGCTGTGGCCTAAAAGGCTCATGTCATGCTTGGAGTATGAAAGAGGAAAGAGTTTATATTACCTCTGTATTTGGTACTGGTGCGGCTGCTGCTGAAATACGTCCAGTTCTAATATCCACAATTCAAAAAGGACATTGATAAATTTGAGAGAGTTCAGAGCAGAGGCACGAGAATGATTAAAGGCCTAGAAAATATGTCTTATAACTGAAGCTAGAGAAATTCAGATTGGAAATAAGGCATAAGTAGTTAACAGTGAGTGTAATTAACCATTGGAATAATTTACCAAGGGTTGTGGTGATTCGATATCACTGCCAATTTTAAAATCAAGATTGGATGATTTTCTAAAAGATACGCTCTACTTTAAAAAGTAGTTATTTCAGAGAAGTTCTCCAGTCTGTATTATACAGGAGATCAGGCTAGATGATGCCAGTGGTCCCTTCTGGCCTTGGAATCTATGAATCTATACAGTCCTACTTGGATTGGCTTTTCCCACCATGATTTGGGCTTCCTTGGTGGGTTTTGTTTGGTTGGCTTTTTACATTCCTGGGGGCTCCTGATCAGACTCTGCCATTAGCATTCAGCCCTTTGAGAGGTTTCCACCACAAGAGAGCATCTGTTCTGGTGGTTCTTCCTTCAAGCAGCCAGTCAGAGGTCTCTGGATCACTTGATTAAGATAGATTCAGTAATCTGAGGACTGGTGGCTTGGCATTTTTGTCACAGCGCATTTTGTGACATAAGGTCATGGGGCTACAGAGAAGCAACACAGGCATAAAAACAGCATACTGCCACTGCGGGGAGCCTGGGTAGTTAGGCTATCCCATGCACAGGTTGTGTGCCATGTAGCACAGAATCAAGTCTCACTTATTGTGGCAAGGGGCCACCCTAAGCAGGATACCTGGTAGGTTCTGGGGAACTCAACACATGGGGCTGGCAAGAGAACTAACTTTCCCATCCGTTATTTCCCATGTCCCTTTTCTGATCTATCCCAATAATTTAAGTTAAACTGGGTATTATCAATAAAAATGGCTGTGTCCTTCGCATCACACACCAGTGTTGTGCATTCACTCTGAATAGGAGTCCAGGGATAAATTACACCAAGTACATTGCATTTACTGTTCTGAATTATCAGTCATCCCCCCCACATGCAAAGTAGCTCCATTTGCTCGGGTGGCCCTATGCATGAAGAATGCAGTCAGCGCCTTCTCTGGAAAGGGGCTCTGGAAACCCTTTTTCCCCTGCTGTGTTGAGCAATGTCTTATCCCATCTAAAATATAGCAAATCTTGTGCAAACGCTGACAAGTTGAAAACTCATTATCTGCAAGCATTTAACCATGGAAGCTTAATGTTCAGCAAGCATTCATGTGTGTAAAACATGATCGTCCAAACATCCATGGAAAGGGAATGCAAAAGGGAAGTGAGCACAGCCACGGCCAATTCATGTTGCAATTCAACTGAATATTTGTGGAAAGCTTTTTTCCTGTATTTGCTCAGCTCTACTTAGTGAAACATGCTCGAGTACCTAAAACATAGAGGAGTCTTGCAGTCCATTAGATGAGCTTTCAATAAGAAGAATGAACTGGATTGCTTAGTGCTAAAATCAGGTTAATCACTTATTGCCCCAAACCAGACAATGAAAGAATTCTTCCGGAGGGGTAGATGAAAGAGTAAGATAGAGGTTCATAATCATCATGGGTGTAGCTGGGTGTGAGGGGCATGGACAGGGCAAACAAACATGCTTTTGTGGAGGAGTAAACAGGAGCAGAAGCCAGGCTCGCCCTGAGCTGCCAAACAGCATCAGAAATGGACATCAGCATGCAGTTACCTGAGCTTTCTTCACCTTAATGATCCAGGTGGGAGGCACAATGACAGCAGCATGAGCCCCCAGGGAACACGGCTCCTCGATGTGATGTAACATGAAGCAGGTGACTTTGTTGTGAAACTAGCGAAGGGAGAGCAGAGCCATCAGTGAGGTGGACAGAAAAAAGGAGAAAGAGGGAGAGAAAAAGGTATGGTGGGGACAGAAGAAACAGGTTGATGTGTGAGGCACTGAGGATTATACCCAGCTCAACTTCTTTTCCCAGTCCTCTGGACCACGAGAGCCTCAGGAACATTAACAAGAAAAAAACCCACCTCCCCATTTTCTCATCCCTTGTCAGACGTGTCCCCTACCCATAAAAGACACCCCTGCTTACATACAGATAACTGTAGTAAGACCAAATTCTAAACAGGCAATAGTATACAAAATGGGAATCCCTTGTTCTCTGAACCAGGAACAGCAATGGAGTGCTTGAGAGCTAACCCTCTCATTTACCCCAGGAATGGCCTTGTTATACTCCAAAAGGAAGGAGCCACAGTCAGCTCTCCTCCACCAGAAGAACAGACTACCCAGGTGTAGCATCCTCAGGGAAAAGGAATAGAAAGGGTGATCCTAGGGGGCTCTTTTCCCCCTAATAAATGAGCACAGGACAAATAAAGTCAAACATGATGATCCTGTGTGGGCAAAACTACCCCCACCATTTACACAGCCCCATCTCTCAACTTCAGTTCTAGCCACTTACCGCCTGCTTGCACCAGGAACAACTGATGGCCACAATCTCTTTACTGTGGAAGGAGAATTTTTGCTGAAATCCCTAGGATGGTAGGAAGAGATAGGAGAGGAAGGGGTAAGCTGCTTTCCATCACATCAAAATACTTCTCATCACATGAGAAAGTTTAGCATCTTTAACTTTTGACACATGACTGAGCTAGATCAGTTCAGGGTGGTCATATACAGTCTTTCACATCTCTTGGATGTCCTATGAATGGACTAAGGTCCCTGGGGGCTCTGAACTGTTGCACATTACTGTAATCAACAGAATATCATGACATACACAGTTCATAAACACCCATCAGGTTAAATCCACTGTTGTTATTTAGCTCCCTACTATTATGGAGTGCCATGGTTAAGGTTATTACTGAGTTTCCATTATATAACCAATTTTGGCCTCCACGATAAAATCCATTAACAAACATCTTATCAAAGTCAGAAGATTCTACCAGGGGACAAGATAGTATTTTATGGAAAATTTGAAGTGACTCATATCATTTAATATATGTAATATTGAATTATAATACCATAAAAACAGAGGTATTGGACACACTTCCCAAATTTGTCTTTCCCCCGCCCCAACTTTGTAGCAATAAAAAGAAGACTCAGTAGAGAGACAGAACCTACTTTCATATATTTTAATAGACCTGCATGAAATTTAGAATATCCATCCTGCAGGAAATACCAATATTTCAACATTTGTATTGTCTCATATCTGAATGTAAAATTAAAATTTCAAAAAAAAAATTTATAGAATGTAAATTTCAAAACCTTTAAATTTAGATATTTTCAATCAAAGCATTTAAACAATCCCAAAATCAAAATGTTTCATTTCAGTTTGTTGAAATGACCCAGAACACTTTGCTTTGAGTCATTTCAACTTTAAATTGAATATTCCAATTGTGGCACTTTGCCTTGTGGGAGTTGTAGTTCATGAGGCTGATGCCAGAACTCTTCCATGTGGGCCAGGCTCCCTGGCTAGACTACCTCTCCCCGGATGCACCCAGAATCATGCGACACCCATGACGTACCACACAGAGCCTGGGAAGAGGAAAATCCACATGGAGTATGGGAAATGTAGTCCTCCAGGGAGCTCAGCCAATAGAAGAAAATGAGGGCCTCAGCTATGACTACCATTAGCAATGTGCTGATAGGGAAATGCAGTTCGATGTTTATAGGGTGACCAGATGTCCCAATATTTGGGCCTGTGTCTTATATAGCCTCCTTTTATCGCCCACCACCGTCCCAATTTTTCACACTTGCTGTCTGGTCACCCTATACTGAACTGATTCAAACAATGTTTCAGGTCAGCTCAACAAAACACAATATTCCAATCTGAGTCAAATCAAGTCAAAACAAAATATTTTGTTCAAATTTTTCCATCAGAAAATCAATTTTTTTCCACAAAGCTGAGATTTTGCCATTGAAAATTTCGATTTGGCAGAAACTGCATTTTTAATCAGAAAAAAATCCCAATGGAAAATTCCCAACCAGTTCTATGCTTTAAGGCCAGAAGGGACAATTAAATCATCAAGTATGATAGCATGTATAATATAAGCTGTAAAACTTCATCCAGCTACCCCTTATTAAGTCCCATAACTTGTGATTGATGAAAGTATATATTTTCCAGAAAGGCAGCAAGTCTCAATCTGAAGACCTTAAGAAGTGGAGAATTCATCACTTCCCTTGATAGTTTGTTCCAATAGTTAATCACATTCATTATTAAAAAAAATTGTGTTTTATTTCTAATTTAAATTTGTCTGACTTTAACTTCTCGCCTCCCTTGGCTCTTGTTATGCCTTTCTTTGCTAGGTTAAAGAACCTTTTACTATCTGGTATCTTCTCCCCATGAAGGTCAGTGACTTATCCACTGTAATCATATCACCTCTCAATCTTCTTTTTGATAAACTAAGCAGAAAAACTAAGCTTTACTTACTAACAAATTTATTTGAGCATAAGCTTTCATGAGCTGTAGCTCACGAAAGCTTATGCTCAGATAAATGTGTTAGTCTCTAAGGTGCCACAAGTCCTCCTTTTCTTTTTGCAAATACAGACTAACATAGCTGCTACTCTGAAATCCATAAGCTTTACTTGAATCCCCAAGCTGACATCCAGTGTCCAGATCCAAAATGGAGTTGTTTGAAGAATTATAAAATTTGATTTAGTAACAGTGCCAGGGAACATCTGCTCCACTGCTTCAGTAATCAGTATGCCTCTTATCGTAGCTTCTGTGCGACGGAGGAGGAGGAGGGAAGGCAGGTACAGAGGAGCAGGCAGATATTATTGTTCAGTGCCATGAAGAGAGAGAATTAAAACAATAAACAAAAATAATCTAACTAGATTATCCAAATTTGGGCCCTTCACTTATCCAAGTCTTTATCTATTTTGTCCCCGCAGGATGTGGTTTACGAGACCACAATCAGCTCTCTGAAGAATGGAATTCTCTCTCTGACTGGCCAATGTGAGAAGGTGCATGTTGCAGCTGTCTGGCCAATACTTAGCCTAGGCTGTCCCACACCTGGTCTGCTGTAATCACCATACACCAGAGCCCATGGATCAAATTCAGTCTCCTGAGGCATCACACCTTGGGACCTCCATACCTATACCTGTTTTTTCCCCATTTTTAGTCCCCTACAATCTGTTGATTTCAGGGCTCTCTCACCTGAGGGGGCAGGCTTTTCACCATGGTGATGGGCTTCACCCACCAATCCTGTCTATGACATAGGCCCATTGACTTCAAAAGCACAAATAGCCCAACTGCTTCCTGATTGGGCAAACCTAGTACATCATTTTATGCGGGCCTAAAAATCCAGTCTCAGATCTACAGTATGTATGACAGGAGTGAGAGACTGAGGACTGACACTGGGCAGTTAACTGATTGCTAACTAAGGGCTTGTCTACACTTAAAACTCTACAGCAATACAAAAAGAAAAGGAGTACTTGTAGCACCTTAGAGACTAACCAATTTATTTGAGCATGAGCTTTCGTGAGCTACAGCTCACTTCATCAGATGTAACAGTTATAGAGTTACAGCTGTGCCACTATAGCACTTCAGTGTAGATGCTGGGGTTCTGCCATCGGCATACGTAATCTACCTCCCTGAGAGGCAGTAACTAGGTAGACAGAAGAATTTTTCCATTGATGTAGCGCTGTCTACTCTGGGGGTTAGGTCATCTTAATTACGTCACTCAGGAATGTGGATTTTTCACACCCGTGAATGATGTAGTTACGCCGATTTAATTTTCTAGTGTAGACCAGGCCTGAGTTTCTTCATTCACTGAGATCTGAGTTTCTTTTAATGTTTCTCATAAATTTAATTCCTCCTTCCTTTGAAAAAAATATTTTGGCCCCTGGTGGATAGAAAGATTTTTTTTCCAAGTTGGTGGAAATACCTGTCTCCCAAACCTGCAACTAAGAAAAAACAAAATCTGGTGCATTTGTTCCAAGGGCCATAAGTGGTATTTTTTTAAACTGAGCAGCTTCCTTTGTTTCTGGGTGAATCATTTTTTTCATTTATTCTGTAGGCTATTTGATTTCTTACAGCATTAATAGTGAAAATGATCCAGCAATAAAAATATAATAATGATTATTTTGAAGTAAAATAGCACTATTCTTCCTCGAATTGCTTTACAAATATAAGCTAATCTCTCCTCCTGTCAGGTAAATTAGTAAATATTAAGAACCTGAATTTACATATAGGGAAACTGATGCAGTAAAGTGATTTATCCAAAGCCACAGTGGGAGTTGGTGAAAACAGTGGGATTAAAATATTGGCATTTCCCACTCAATTTCCTCTGATCAGCCTGCTGGCCATTGCCCCAGGCTTCCTCCTGCCTCCCCTCTGAGTAAGATAGAAAACTAGAATTCACTTTTTCTTTGCTGTTCCTGGGTTGGGTTTGCCTCCACTCGCTCCTGAAAGAGATAGAATTATCCCACAAGAAATACATTGCAAGATTTGAGAAACACGAGGATGGAGCACTAACTCCATATTTGAGATGGGGTTGTTGCATTAATGCCTGATTCACCCGTTTCAGGTGTAGTATGTAAAACTACATATTGTGAGATCTTCTTGTGAAAATAAATCACATCGGTGCAGGATGGAGGAAATATATTTGGAGGAAGAGAGCTCCTGGATCCCCAGATTGCATTGGGATCACAACCTGTCCAAATAATTGGAGTCAAAGTCATATTAGCAGCTTCCCACATGTAAAGGAGCTATAGGCCACTGGTTAATCACCTCTGATTTCTGTTCCCCAATTGATCTGTAGAGTGCAGAGCTTGCACTAGACAAAAGCAGACTAAGCAATTGCTTCAGGCCCCAAGCAATTGAAGGGGGCCCCCTATTAATTATTAGTATGTGTTGGTGGGGGGAATATTCCTGCTTAGGGCCCCCAGTGGGCCAGCACCAGCACTGATAGGGTGGGACCTCAGGAAAAATCTCATGAGACACTATCCTGTATTAGACCATCGGTCCATATAATCCAGTAACCTACCCCCCTACGCCGCCTCCCAGCAGTGGCCAATGATGCTTCAGAAAGAAGTAAGGCAAAAAAATAAACTAACACACTAAGCAAATGATGTATGCGGAAATTCATTCCTGACCACAGGCTTACGACTAGAAGTACGAGATGTGATTGCTCCTAAATCTTTATCTCAGCTTGAATAATGGTAAGTATTATTAATGTTCATTAAAATATTTAAGCTATCCAATTCCAGCCATAGGATTTGACTGATGACCTCCTAGAATAATGAGATCCACAGAATGAGTAAGCACTTCATGAAACATACTTTCTTCTATTGCTCTAAATTTACTTCCATTTCATTTCAATGACTGTCTCCTTTATCTTGCATGACAGGGGAAGTTAAAGGATGGTTTTAAAGGCAGAAGAACAAAAAAAGTAGGAGCACAAGACAAACACGTATTTGGTTATAGAGGAGGTCATTTTGCCATTAAAATACAAAGGCATTTTTCTTGTTAGTGTTTTCTTTTATCCTTCCTGGTTTCTGGACAGAGAGCTCTACCAGAACATATGCATGCAAACTTTAACTCTGTGTGTATTAAGATGCTATTCTCTTTGCACGTCTACTGACCTCAACCTCAGGGGAGCCATGTCTTTTGTCCATTCCAGTCCAGACTGGTCATGTGGATACCATGAATATATCAAGTGTTGGTTGTGGTACAACATGCACTGACTGTTCTACAAGCATAATGAATCCCTTTGACACCGATACTGGAGATACAAAGCAACTCAGAGAATGGCAGAGGCACAAGAAAACATGGCTCCCATGTCATCGTGTGTCATATCAGCATAAGAATGCTGCATGTAAGCCTCTCACTGCTGGTGCTCACATACCATCTGCCATGAAGAGGATACTGCATCTTACTGCAGCTAGTACCTTAGCTCAATATCCACGGCCAGTTTGTTACATCTGATTTTCTGGTTCTGGCTAAAAAATACATACCACGGAGAACCTGACAAGACATGGGCTCTGCCCTTTGTCCACACAATAATTAACTGCTGAACCTGAAGAAAAGAGAGATTTCTCAGGAAGAGAAGAGAGAGACAGTAGCATAACCTAGTTCTGGAGAAAGGAAGTTATGCTTAGGTGTAAATTAATTTCAGCACCTCTTAGATGCTTGGAGGACTGGAAGATCTGGGAGAAAAGGTCCTATAGGGAGCCAAGTTTTCTCTTATCTTTTCTGTAGCCTTTGGAAATGGGTTTTCAGAGTCTGTACAGCAGAGCATTCATTGACAAATCCAGTCTAACACACTGAGAACAATTACGTATCAGGGATGAAGGAATGGTGCTGGACTATAGTGCACTAGCATTTCACTTCTGGAGATCCGGCATCAGGTCACAAGTAAGATACATTTGCTGTAACCACTTTGGTCCCCATTTGTGCACATCAGAAACCCATCACCCCACTTGGCATGATTATCATTCTCTGCTCAAGAGAGGGCTGGAATAGAATAATTAAATGGTTGGGAAGAGCCACCTGCTGAATTGAATCTAGCAGTGTCGAGAGAATCCTGGCATAACCATTATCATGTACATATGCCACTTACCTTTCCACACTGCTTGCACTTCCCTTCCTGCCTCCGCCTGTGCACCCAGTGATGTCGGACAAAGTTCTGCAGGAAAAGGACAAAATGAAAGCATTAGTAAATGATAGCATCTTACCTTTACAGAGCACCTTTCATCCCTCATCATTTTCCAGCCATATATATATATATACGAGAATCACTTCAGTCATGACTGAATTGCAGTCACTTTTGGAGCAAAACGTGGCAGCCATTAAGCAGCAGTACTACCCCCCAGTTTATATTGGGAAATGAAAACACCACACACAACTAAAAGTGCAGGAGGAATCTAGGTAGACAGCATTCATTACCCAAATTGGAATCTGAACAGAACAACCCCCCTGATACTCTCATACAAAAAGAATAGAGTACAGTCCAGGAAAGACAATTACAGTATCAGCCAAGAGAGAAGAAGTATCCTTAAAGCACTATGTTTACCTATAGCATAGGGCCCACTTCTACTCCCCATTGAAGTCAATGGGAGGGGAAGTTCATCAGTGAGTTCAGTGGGAGCTAGGTTTGGTCTTATAAGGCAAGAACATGGGTTGGCCTACAGGTCCACGCAGAGGAACAAGGGGGTGTAAGGCGTTCCTTTACTCCCGCACATGGGCTACCCACACTATGGATCACAGCATGGAGGGAAGGAGAGCAACATCTGCAGGGCTGCTACCTCCCTTTCCATGCATAGTGCCTCAACTTTTTCCCCTCAATACACCAGCCAGCAGAGCTGAGCAAATGTGGAAGGGAATGTAATCTGCATCTAGCATAGGCACCAACTCAGTGAGTGCTCCGGAGAAAAATTGCTCTGCACCCACCAGCAGCTCCAAGCCCCACCGCCCCAGCTCACCTCTGCCTCTGCCTTCTCCTCCTCCCCTGAGTGCACCGCATTCCTGCTTTTCCTCCCAGAGCTTGCTGCCACGAAACAGCTGTTTTGCAGCATAACAAGCTGTGGGAGGGAGGGGGGAGGAGCGGAAACATGGTGCGCTCAGGGGAGGAGGTGGGGAAGAGGCGGGGCTGGGGCAGGGATTTGGGGAAGGGGTTAGAATGGGGATGGGGCGGGGGCAGAGTCTGGGGCACGAGCACCCACTGGTGCCAGGAGAAGTTGGCGCCTATGGCATCTAGTATAGACTAGTAGCAGATTTCTTCCCCCTGGAGAAACGGAAGAGCAAAGACATGCTTGTAACTCTAAGGGTATATCTACACTGCAAGTGAAGGGATGACTTTAGCCTGGGTAGGCATACCCATGCTAGCTCTAATGTAGTTAACAGGGGTAACAATAGTTGTGTACATGGGCTAGCAACCAGTGTATGTACCCATGTTCCCCAGTGGGCTTGCACTTGGTTACATCTACACTTGGAGCTAGGGGTGTGACTCCCAGCTAGCAGAGACATATTCATGCTAGTTCTCCCCAGGTTAGCATGCTAAAAATAGTAGTCAGAGTAACAGCCGTATTAGTCTGTATTCGCAAAAAGAAAAGGAGTACTTGTGGCACCTTAGAGACTAACCCATTTATTTGAGCATGAAAGCTTATGCTCAAATAAATGGGTTAGTCTCTAAGGTGCCACAAGTACTCCTTTTCTTTTTGAAAAATAGTAGTGTAGCCAGAGTAGCATGGGCAGCAGCAAGTGGCAGCTCAGGCTAACCATCTTGAGTGTGTACCCCTGAGGTCCGGGAGGGTTTGTACTCAGGGCAGCTGGTAATACACTACTACTTTTAGCATACTAGCTCAGTGAGAGCTGGCGTACGTCTGTGCAAGCTGTGGATTGCACCCCTAGCGCCAAGCGTAGATGTAGCCTCAGAGCAGGCTTGGAAGGTTTCACTTTTTATTGGTCAGTGTTGATAAATATCGATTTCACTGTACACAGACAAACCGCTGAAAAATGTTTCCATTGATAGTAATCGACATAGGCAAAGAAATATGCTGCTTGAGATCTTATTGCAGTTTGATTTAAAGCTGTTCGTTTTGTACATTTTGACACATGATGCTGACAATTTGTGTTTTAACAGTTACAAAGCTTTAGCTTTTTGAATTTCAACATTTATTGTTATTAAATAATTATTGTCTGACCCCCCCATAATTCCCCCAACTTTGAAAATTTAAATTGATAAAAATAATAAATGCTGAAAATCCTTGATTTTATGCAACTGTGAAAATTTAAGTAGATAAAAATGAAAAGACACTTAAAAATAAACATCAATATTAAAGGTCAAAATAATTAAAAAAATAAAAATGAAATCCTGCCAACCCTTCCTAAGAGTCACCAGGTCTGCCCGCGGGACAGCACAACTATGCACTGTCCCTTGCTATGGGTTAAGAGTAAACTCTCAGTCTAGCCAATAATTTATGCCATACCCGCTACCCTACACTTTAAAATCTTTTCCTGAACTCTGAAACTTCCTTTTAACAGCTAGTACTATCTGGCTTATCAATAAAGCTGGGATATTACACAAGCAAAACAGCTCTACTTTTTTCCTTCTTTTTCTTTATTAAAAAAAAATCTAAACATCTAGGACATAAAATGTGAAAGCCTGACATGAAGACAGGAAATAAGTTTCAACAACTATATTGACTCTACTTTGTTGCACATGTGCTTTTTTCTGTGCCTGTTTATTCTTCTAAAATATGTTCCTTAGGGTTTATGTCATTAAATACATGCATAAATACTGTAAAACATACAGCATCTGTAATGTAGCCAAATTCAGACTGCAGTTGGAATTAACTTTTGCATTTCTTGAGGTTTTGTCATTTTTAATTCTGTAAGCTAACAAGAGACTTGAAAAACTGAAAATACTATTGGCAAAGTGAGGGGAAAGAGGGTGAAAGAAAGGAAAGAAATAATGGAGAGATGCAGAGATAGAAAAATCAGAAAAACTGGTTGAAAGACAGAAAATAAGAAAGGAAGAATATGAAATATAAGTAAGAGAATATGAAAAAAGAATGATTGGGGAGAAAAAAAAGAGAATGGATGAGGGAATATGGAAAGAAAAGAAATTGATGTTGTTGATATAACTAATGTGGCTATTTGTCTAGAATTCATTTTATATTCCTTGTGAAGAAGAGAATGTGTCCCAAAGGGGGGCAGTTCTCTTTCTAAGGCTCCAGTGAGTCTAAAAGCACTGCTCCTACTCCAGGAACAGGTGCATAAATCATAGAGGGGAGCAATGATTAGTCATAAATTACTTACTTCTCTTGGAGATCTGGAGCCCCCCTCTCGGAAAGTTGGTTTGCACCGGAAATTAATCTGTCATTAAAAGCAAAGCAAACAAATAGGAAAAAAATCAATATTGTATAGGAATGTAAACAGAAATCAGAGGTGGCTGTAAATGTTGACAATGTGTATGGTAATATAATGTGTGAGAACTGTTCCCATATATTGTATTAGATCAGCTCTGCAAAATCCCCTTTTCAAAAACATACTAGCTTAACTAAAAATCCAGTGTCCCAACAAAGAGACCCACCTTGCTGTTAAAAGAGCATGTGTGTGCATTCACCTGCCCAAACAATCTACATCTTGCCTCCCCATGTCTCTAAACAGTCTTCTCTTCACCATGTTGTGGCTGTCTGTTCAGTGTCTCTTCTTTGCCTGCCCTCCCCCTCTTAAAAGGCAGCACTGCATCAGTTTAACCTTGCTTTGCATGAGCAAGGTTACCTTTGCAACCAGAGGCTGGGCTTAAGCTAGGGGTTTTAAAAAGTCAATGGAAGCTGGGCATCAAACTCCTTCAGGTTTACTCCTTTTTAAATGAAAGCTAGATTCTGCAGACCATTCACATGAGAAATGTTGGGACCCTGAATGAATAAATAGATTTTTCCACCTCTTTATCAAGCCATTCCCACTTACCCACCCACAAATCCTGGCCAGACTAGCAGTGCCTCAAAAAGGATCAGCTACATTCCCTATTTCTGAGGGCAGAGTAGTGTACAGGCCAACAGGCGCTTTCATAAAACTGAAAATGTTAAACAGATTGGAAACAAAAAGAAAGGATGAACCAAATGGTTGTGGGGAAGGAAAAGGGAAGAATTGGGAGAAAGGGGGATGCAGAGAGAATAAAGAAGTAATGGGGGGAACACTGAGAGAGAACAAAAGGGAGAGGATGATGGGAGAGGTGGAAAAAGAAATAGTGCATTTAAACTGAAGTTGCCAGTGGACCTCAGGTTTGCATCTCCACTGTTTTCTCTTTCTCCCCATCCTAAGGGGCCATAAAACGAAGAGTCAAATTATAATCCCAACTCATTTCAAAACTTATGTCAGTAGTAGCAACACAAAATTGTAATTCTTAATACTGGATGCAAAATTTTACAGGCTGCAAAATGCTACAGTGTAAAAATTTTACACACACATCCTGCAAATCACCTACATGATCACAGCTTTTGATCTATATGCATAAAATAGCCAGCAATCAAAATGCTTGCTCTTGGTGCTATCTTCTCAGGCCATCCCACAATACTTGCAGAATACACAAGCATGTTCAACAGCCACACTATGGTGTAATTCCAGAAAGTACCACCTTTAATATTACAGCATTGAACAGACATAAGAACTGATGCTACAGCATTAGTCAATCTGTGTGAGTCTGATGCTACAGTATCCTTCCTGAAACAGTATTTATAGGGTCAGTACTTCCTCTTTCAGATGAGATATGATCCTCTCAACCACTTCTGCCCATGGTGTCCCTACAGGAGAGATGTTAACTTCAGTATCCTGACCAAATTCCACTCTGATAATTGTGCTTTGAACTAACATGAATAAGAGCTGTAAATCAGATTTACCTCAGCTGGATTCATACACAAAAGGGAGATTCTTGATCTGAAAAACTGCTAAAAGATCCCCTCACGCACACCCAAAGTAGTAATAAAGAAATCACAAACATCTGCGTTCCTTTTTTCATCCTTATGGTAGGTTTCTCTACAGACAAATTTTCAAAAATATAAGTAACAGACTTTCTGGACCCAAAAACCAAGAGTATGGCCCCACAATCCATTCATTTAAAAGGGAAAGTATACACAGAAAACTACATTGAATGGAATTGTTGCTTACATATGCACAGTCAATATACTGGCATGATTTTATTAGTTGAGGAATTTTCTGCCATCAATAGGTTCAGTAGTTCTCAAGCTATTTACTGTTATGGGCTGCATATGCTGCTCTCTGTGCGTTATGTGGGCTGCATCCACACAATGTATATGCTGAGAGCCCGGAGAGTGTGGCTGTGGATCCTGCCTGCAAAGATGGGGAGCCCTGTCCAATGCAGGGTGCCCCCCCAGCTAGGGACAGTCCCCCCAGCATCCAGACTCCCCGCCCAGCACTAGGCTGGCACACAAGCCCTCCAGGGACTGACCCTTCCAGCACCTAGTCCACAACCCAGGGACTGCCCTCCAGGCACCCAGCCCCCCAACTAGGGACTGCCCCCCCAGCAACTGCCCCCAGCATCCAGGCCCCCCAGCACTCAATCCCTCCCATCCAGGGACTGTGCCCCAGCCACCACTTCCCCTACCTAGAGTCTGTTCCCCATGGACCAACTGCACCCCCTGTCCCCACACCTCAACCCCCTGCACTCTCCTCCCTACAGCCCTAGCCCCCTGCACACCCCTCCCCCATCGTCACTGGTCTCCTACCTTGATTGCACCTAGCTGAGCTGTGCAGCCCACCCTGCCCACCTGCTGCTGCGGGCCTAGTGCTGGGGATCCTGCTCCAGTCGAGGTCACTGGACCCGCGATTCTGCAGGGTAGGGGGCACTGAGCACCCAGGCCTCCTGCCAATGCTACTAGGCCTGATCCTGCCGGGAGGCGGCTGACAGTGGGCTCAATCCTGCGCTGCCCTGTTTTTGCATCCTGCTACCACCTCTGTGCCCGGGGCAGATGCCCCTCCCACCCCACACTAGTTATGGTTCTGAAGATATCACATGAGCCGCAGCTGTGTGCTGATTGGGCCACGAGTTGAGAACCACTGGGTTAAATGATAAACATGGAAGATGATACTAACAAGGGGAAGAAGCATGTCTGTATGTCTGAGAAACTTAGACTGACTGTCAAAGTGAAACATAATTAAACATATCTCTCAACTGTCCATTATAAAGGCAGAGTGGTTGGGCTTCCTTATTATAGATAATAATTGATCTCCATCCCAAAATGAAAGAACAGCAACTTCATTTAAGTGATGTAAAATTATAGCATTAGACATGAATAGAAAGCAGCATAAACTCTGGCAAGTCAGTAAAAGTATAATTAGGAAGGCCAAAAAAAGAATATGAAGAGCAACTAGCCAAAGACTCAAAAACTAACAGTGAAAAAAAATTAAGTTCATCAGAAGCAGGAAGCCTGCTAAACAATAAATGGGGCCGCTGGATGATCAAGGTACTAAAGGAGCACTCAAGGAAGATAAGACCATTGCGGAGAAGCCAACTGAATTCTTTGCGTTAGTCATCACTGGAAAAGATGTCAGGGAGATTCCCACACCTGAGCCGTTCTTTTTAGGTGAGAAATCTGAGGAACTGTCCCCGACTGAAGTGTCAGTAGAGAAGGTTTTGGAACAAATTGATAAATTAAACAGTAATAAGTCACCAGGACCAGATGGTAGTCACCCAAGAGTTATGAAGGAACTGCAGTATGAAATTGCAGAACTACTAACTGGGGTATGTAACCAGCCATTTAAATCAGCTTCAGGAGGACAGCTAATGTGACACCAATTTTTAAAATAAGGCTCTGGAGGTGATCCTGGCAATTACAGGCCAATAAGCCTAACTTCAATACCAGGGAAATTGGTTGAAACTATAGTAAAGAACAGAATTATTAGACACATAGATGAACATAATTTGGTAGGGAAAAGTCAGCATGGTTTCTGTAAAGGGAAATCATGCCTTACCGATCTATTAGCATTCTTTGAGGAGTCAGCAAACCTGTGGATAAGGGTGATCCAGTGGATATAGTGTACTTGGATTTTCAGAAAGCCTTGACAAGGTCCCTCACTAATGACACTTAAGCAAAGTAAGCTGTCATGGGATAAGAAGGAAGGTCCTCTCATGGCTCAGTAATGGGTTAGAAAACAGGAACCAAAGGTAGGAATAGGGCTGTCGATTAATCTCAGTCCACTCATGAGATTAACTCAAAAAAATTAATCGCGATTAAAAAAATTAATCATGATTAATCACAGTTTTTATCGCACTGTTAAACAATAGAATATCAATTGAAATTTATTACATATTTTGGATGTTTTTCTATATTTTCATGTATATATGGTATTCTGTGTTGTAATTTAAATCAAAGTGTATATTATTTTGATTACAAATATTTGCACTGTAAAAATGATAAACAAAAGAAATAGTATTTTTCAATTCACCTCATACAAGTACTGTAGTGCAATCTCTTCATCGTGAAAGTGCAACTTACAAATGTTGATTTTTTTTTGTGTTATATAACTGCACTTAAAACCAAAACAATGTAACACTTCAGAGCCTACAAGTCCACTCAGTCCTACTTCTTGTTCAGCCAATCGCTCAGACAAACAAGTTTGTTTATATTTACAGGAGATAATGCTGCCCTTTTCTTATTTACAGTGTCACCCAAAAGTGAGAGCAGCATTTGCATGGCACTTTTGTAGCCGGCATTGCAAGGTATTTATATGCCAGATATGCTAAACATTCATATGCCCTTTCATGCTTTGGCCACCATTTCAGAGGAATGCTTCCATGCTGATGACGCTCGTTAAAAAAAAGTGTGTTAATTAAATTTGTGACTGAACTCCTTAGAGTCATAGATTTTAAGGTCAGAAGGGACCATTATGATCATCTAGTCTGACGTCCTGCACAACGCAGGCCACAGAATCTCACCCACCCACTCCTGTAATAAACCCCTAGCCCCTAACCTAAATCTTTAGGGGAGAATTGTATGTCCCCTGCTCTTTTTACCCACATTCTGCCATATATTTCATATTATAGCAGTCTTGGATGATGACCCAGCACATTGTTCATTTTAAGAACACTTTCACTGTACATTTCACAAAACACAAAGAAGGTACCAATGTGAGGTTTCTAAAGATAGCTACAGCACTCGACCAAAGGTTTAAGAATCTGAAGTGTCTTCCAAAATCTGAGAGGGACGAGGCGTGGAGCTTGCTTTCAGAAGTCTTAAAAGAGCAACACTCCGATGTGGAAACTACAGAATCCAAACCACCAAAAAAGAAAATCAACCTTCTGCTGGTGGCATCTGACTCAAATAATGAAAATGAACATGCGTCGGTCCTCACTG